TTCGAAGGGTGAATGAACACCTTGGAGTGAGCCAATCCTGGAAGATTTGCCAGAAGTCCATAAATCTTTTGCTATCCGAGTGTTCAGTGTTTGTTTGTCAAAGCTTAAAACAATGCCAATGACATATTCTGGTCCAATAAAGCTACTTGCAGCACCCTCCCTTGCAAGGGAGTCAGCAGCATCATTGCCTTGCAGGCCAGTATGGCCTGCAGGAGTCCAGGCCAGAGAAAATTTGTCTTCTTATTGAGGAGAGTCTATTTTTGCAATTTGCTACCATTTTAGACGTTGCTCGTTAGAGCTTTCTACGTCGCTTGACTGTCCGAGAATATTTTTATTGACTCGTGTATGAGGTTGGATTCTCCGCACACAATTTAATATCATATGTTTCCGCTTGAAATATGGTAGTATAGGTCCCTGGACAGGTTGATATATCTACCCTGGGTCTACGACAGAAAACACCTGCAATAATTACATCTTTTTATAATAAAACAACATATTGTAGCCAAGCAAAATGATCGATTTACAATAAGGGCAAAATTATCTAATCCAATTATCTAATCTAATTATCTATCCAATTTTGAAAATGAAGTAAGAGAGAAGTCTAAAGATAGCCAGTTGAGGCCTGTTTAAAATAATTTATGATGTAGTTTTAGGGTTGAAATGTAGAATATTTTGTCAGTTGTCAAGTTGACATGCGTTTTAACTTCCACTTGTTATCTTCACTAAATAAGTTAAACCGGAAAGTTTACCTCTCAGTTTTGAACTAACGTTCATATTGTAGACTTCTTGAAGTTGACTTATTTTTTTGGGAGCTTTCAACTTTAGGCTAGTTTTCATAACATTATCTAACGTTTTTGCTTCATTTACAAAGTTCTTTCCCAAAAGAAATTCTTCAGTATTACATTTTTCTATCAACTATTTTGTTGTTAAAAAATGGCATAAAGATGTACTTTCTATGTGTACTTGCATGATATATATCTGTTACAGATGAGTTGAGAAGCGTCTGCCAAAACCGCTTTTTTTTTTATTATCATCCATGGTAGCCTGGTAGGTTGACGTGAGTGGTTTGCTTCTTTCACTCAATCCACCGCTGTATGAACCGGTGGTTCGAGCCGCAAGGCCGAACGATCGATTTTCACTACCTATCGTCCAACCCGTGTTAGGTATCACACGTTAAAAAGTGAGACCTCGTTAGTCCTCAGCTCGCACAAGTTTCAACTTTGAGGGTTGACGTGACAGCTGGTTAACGTAAAAACATATTTTTTACAGATATCTTGTAATAATTTGTTCATTTGAGAACAAAGAGCTCCTAGAGAATGTCCCGCCTGATCTTATAATTTTTCCATGAATTTGTCATGATGTAATGATTTTTCGTCCAAACATATTGTTACTCCAGGACCAAGAATGGATGTTTTCAGTACTGGACAGCTTTCATATAGCGGATATTTTTCCATAATACTTTAATTTTGTTCTGCAGTTGACCCACTCTGTAAATATGTCTGCCTCCTGAATTCGATCTCAGGATGAAAAGGGTCTTCAGCAATATTAGAGATCTTGGGTTTTGTGTCCAAAATTTCAAAATCGTCACAAGCTTGGTTCAGAGGATCTTTCAATGGACCAAGTTTTGCTGTTCTTCCGTTGGTTTTGCTACATTTTGGTTATGTTCGCTACTTCTATTTCCAGATAACACTGAATGAATTTAAAATGAACATTTACCAGAGAATTTGAATAAGGGTAGTATAATAACTAATAATGATTTTTGTGTCAGACCTTTTTTCCAGAGTACTTTATAATGACTTCCCAGATTGTGCCCAGTCGCCATCTTGAAAGTTTCATCTGTCAATTTCACTTCAAAATGAAGTATTCATGCAATAATTTCATTATCCCAAATTTCAATTTTTTGAGTTGACCCGTTCAAAAAATAAAAGGGGGGACATTAAAGAAAGGCACTGTATAAATGGGATTATTTTAAAAAGAGTAGGAATAATTATCTTACTCTCATTTTTCTAGTTAGCTTCCTAAAATATGACCTTAAGTAAATAAATTATTCAGAAAAATCAGTTGCCATTGAATCTTTTATTATATTATATTTTCATCTATTTCCATCAATTACCCGATCAAAATTTTCAAAATTGGCCAGAAGGCCGGAAGCATAATACCTAGACTCCTAGACTAAACCTCTGATGAAGGCAATGAAATGTTATTCTCCCTTTCTGCTTTGGATCGCTAACTGAAAAGTAATATCCTTTAACAAGTACAAGTTTCTTGAGGACTTCAGATGAGAATTGTTCTTGTGAAGCAACTGGTTAGCTCTGAAAACTATTTCAACCAAACGTTCTTAGGCAATGCATATTGTCTTCGAAACTTTTAGGCTTTCAGATTTGTTTTCTTTCATTAAAAACTATTTTTTCATTTAACTTTTCTTTTACTTTCAAGTTTGACAATTTTTTATCAACAATAACCTTTCCCTGTTTCGTAACTAGGTAAAATTCAGTAATTCAATATAAATATAGGGCGTAAATGAGTGAACTGAAACAATATACAAAAATGAATTCTAACATTATAGAATGAACTCTGACATTATCCCCTTCGTGAAGAACCCGTTCTCTTCACATCTCTTTCTACTTTTAACCTGCACAACTTTGTAACTGGATGACGGTAAGGTGTTGGTTGCCATCTTTTCCTGAAAAATTTAGATCAATCCACGTTGTTTGACAAGTTAGGAATATACCCTTTAATCCACCTATACTATAATTCCAAAATAGTAGGCACTAAATTTTCACTAAACAGATGAAGGAAAATGATGATAAAATATATAGAATCACAACCTTGACAACAATTTTTTCGTTTCAATGCAATAATATTTCTGAAAATTTATTGCCTACTATTACGGAAATGTACTATAGTCCAAAAAGTGTTTACTAAATATTGAGATTTCAGCCATTCGCGTCGTAAACATATATTTTCGAAATCTCCACAGGGCCTTCATTGTATGCCTACCCCGCTTTTGTATTTACTTCCAGACAACTAATGTTATTTCGCTAAAAGTCCGTTCCCCATACATGATAAGCTTCGAAGGGCTAGATATATATTCAGCATTGTGCATTGGCTTGACACATATTGGCAAGTGTTGTTAACTGAAGCTAGCAAATCGATTACTGCCTTTACCACCACTCCTGCTGCTTTCCAACGTTTTATGGATAGGTTAATAAACCTGGACATACAAGACTAAATTGCGGCCATCCGTCGTCTATCTTGTTTTGTATCGGATGCGACTGTGCCGGAACACTTTCTAGAGCAGCACCAGTACCTCCGATGAAGCTGTCTATTACGATTTCTAGACGAGAGTATTTCTGGAAGTGTATTTGCCCTTCAGAGAGGCAACTCCTCACAAGACAGGCAGACTCATTTCCTATGTGTGTGCCCCAATCTAAAATAAACTGGCTCTCTTCTTTCTGTGGATATTCAGATCAGGTGAAGAGAAGAAGACGCCATCGAAACGGAATCCCCGGTGCACCGAAGAAATTGATTAAAGGTAGTTTTTGTAGTAGGGGTATCCGTTCGCCAGTAAACTGTATGAAATCAGAAGGGGCGCGGACGCCTGAGAAAAGTTAGGAAACCATGAGTTAGTTATTTGTTTTACCAGATTGAGAATATTACGTTGTTATTTACCAGAGTAGTTGAAATCAATTCTGTATTGTAGAAAGGTTTCACAGTAACCCCGCATGGTAAGTTAAGGGTTTTGGAAGAAACCTGTAAATATACTGTTTGTTGTACGCGTTTCCCTTTTCATACTCTTTCATACTTCTACCCCAGACCGTCTCCCCGACTTTTACATCAACCTACGAATACGAACCCCGACTTTTACATCAACCTACGAATACGAATCAAGTGAAGCTTCGTGCGTTTCAGCCGTGTCTCGGATATTGCTACCCGCCCAAAAAACTATCGGTGTCTCTGACTCAATATCTTTGTCCCCGTCTGCACACGGATCATGTGGAACCTCGTTCATTTCAGCCATGTCACAGTATTCTTCGACATATCGAACACGTCTCCCAACTACCTACACAGTAGGGTGTGGTAAACGTTTGTCGAAAAACAACTTCTTCCCCGGCTAATACCACGTGGTATTTCGAAATATTTATTTTCTCATACGTATGTATCTCTCCTCGAAAGTTTTCACTTTTGAGTTAGAGTTTTGATATATGGGATGTTTCTTCCCCGCTTGGGGCTTTGTTCACGAGATGGAACAGTCTTTCTCTCAGACGAAAGTTTCATATATGTAGCGGAGCCGTGTTGAAATTAATCGAGTCTCAGACACTTTGCTATCTGGGTAGGATCTTTCCTGTACTGACGAGAGGTAATACCTCGAAACCGCGGTCTGCAAGTGATCTACTTGAATAATTTTAGCATGGTCCTGCTGCTGGATGAACGAGAAACATCTGCGAGACCAGCCTCTGTGAGGAATCTTGCATAAATGTTTATCGGATGGTATCAGCCGGGGAAGTAGTTCTTTTTCGACAGACGTTTACCACATCCTTTTGTGTAGGTAATTGGGAGAGATTAATATTTTCTTATACATAAGCGCTTAGTTAAAATACTGCGCACTTGTAATTCGAGGTTTTTAGAAAATTGTTTATGCAGAATCTGACCCTCATTAGTAGCCTTCAGCTTTCCGTAGACCATATACAGGGTAGATCACAATTACCGTGGTGGCTGGAACCCGTGCAGAAGGAATTAGTGGTGTAATATAATGATTAGTATTGGAAATGTGTGTTTTATTTCACTAATGATTACAGAGTGAATCCGAAAGTACCACATCGACCCCTGGCGTTCTGTTAGCTGCCCGGTGCAAAGTGATGCCTTGTAAAACCTACCCCAGTCCGTTAGACCATTACAATGTGAACAATATCTCTAAATATTCAACTCTAAACGTACCCAATTCGCAAAACATATGTTATCTCCACTGTTTCACTCACCTCATAATTCAATATTTTCAGGAAAATCTGGTGGAAAGCAAACAACATAAACTTGCAAGGTCTCTCAGAAGCGGTCTCTGTGATAAAGATGTTAAACCCAATGCTGCAATGCGAGACACACTCAACAAAATTGTGTCTTACCCACCAACCAAAAACCTTTCAATTGAAGAGCAAGATACTGTTTGGAAATACAGGTTTTATCTAAGTACACAAAAGAAAGCTTTAGCAAAATTCTTGAAATGTGTAAATTGGCATCAGCCGATTGAAGTGAGTCAAGCACTTCACATGATGGAAATTTGGGATCCCATGGATGTAGAGGATGCTCTTGAATTGTTAAGTCCAAACTTCACTCATCCTGCAGTACGACGGTATGCTGTTGGCAGGCTGCAGCAGGCTCCTAATGAAGATATTTTATTGTATTTGCTGCAGTTAGTCCAAGCTTTAAAATATGAAAATTTTGACACTATTCAAAGGGGTGAGTGTGTATACAAAAAAAAGATCTGTATTGATAGTTAGTTTAACGGTTTGACATCAATTTAATCATTTGAAATTTATGTAACAATATCACTTCTCATACATAACACTTTTTCATCAACCAAAGTAACTTCGTTCAAAATTTAGGTAAACATTTACACTTTGCGAATGTTGAAATACCAATAGAAACAGGTAAGTCCTTGGACACCAAAAACTATTTAATTAAGATGAAAATGTGGCTTCCTAAAACCGATTGACGTCAATAAACTGCTGAAATGAATCTCCTTCCATTAGCACCTACGCATTATCCCGCATTTCATTTTAGAAACTGAAAAACTTTAAAATGCTGATAAACGTAAAAATGTGAAGAACCATTATAAGAAAAGAAACTTACGAAAACTGACACCACTATACTATTTTAAATATATTGATGGTATGTACTGACATATCGTACTATCAAGTTAGTAAGTAAAAAGTATTTGAGTTAGCATGCTGCACACAATCAGTTTCTTCAGTCGACAATTTTTTAAGTAAATCTCAACAATTACTAAACAAATTATATCAAGTCCCGACATCATGGTAAATAGATAGTTGAAACTTATGAAGAAAATATGTCTAGTGAACACATAGAACATACACACATGAATGGAAACTTATAGTAATCACTTCATAGTATAAAACAAAGTCGTTTCTCGCTGTCTCTCTCTATGTATTTTTTTTACGCTTACATTGCAAACGATGGCTTAACCCTAGAAGTTAGATCAAAATAATGTACTATTGTATTGTACACTTTGAAAAGGTCTACAAAAAAGTCTATCTCTTAGGGATAACCCACAATAACCATTTTTTATCCTTCACTTTTTTACGAAGCGATTTTAAGCAATACAGCATTAATCCTTATCTAATTAAGTACCTTAAATACATTGTACGTTTAATACAAATCAATATGGCTTTCGAGACCATGTAATTTAAATGAATATTTTCGAAGATATTACAGATTTAAAATGCAGAGACATATCAGTTGCGGCGGTACGGGGGGCCGGCGGCGCGTGCCAATAAATAGCGCGTCAAAGGCCGCGCTTCGCCCTATAGCACTTTATGATTAGCGGCGATCGCACGTGTTTTTATGTATATTTAGTATCAGCATTGCACCCGTGAGCACTCAGCTAAGTTAAGGACCGTCTGTTATTACCTACAATGGTGTATAGATATATAAGAGTTAACATTGTTAATTATTTCAGTTATTACTTTGAAAATGTCCTTATAGGACGAAACTGCAGTACCGTTAGTTACAAATACAAGTGGTTTATATACAGGAAATTCTATTTCTCATTTTTCATAATATTTATCACATGTAAGTTCAAGAATTTCTAAATAATCACACGTCAATTGAACTTTAACTAATAATCACACTAACCAAATTGATATTTCACGTATATCAAAACACTAGGGAATATTCAGATTTTATTAATGATACTTTTTTGGACACTTCAATGTAGAAGTCCACTATACAAGAAGTAATAACATGCACGGTGGTTCTCATATACTAATAAAGGAAAATCATAAAAAAGCAGAAACTTAAATCTTTATGAATTTAACTGTTGAATGCAAAATTGAAATATGTGCTATATATTATTTCATAAAAATGTATAATCTCTATTATAACTGCATGTAGATCACCAAATGGTAATATTATTATATTTATCAATGTATTAACACAAAGCACTTAACATAGGTTCTGATCGTTCAGATTTCATCATTCTTTCTGGAAACTGTAACATTTACTATCTGAAATATAACATGAATACTAAATTACTCCTTGATATCTTAAACTCCTTTCTTTTATGGGAGAATGCCAATGAAGTTTCCTGTGTTTTTACCAAATACACCATCTGAACTTTTATGATCACAACGTTGTCACAAATCCCCTAAAATCAAGTTATCATTGTAATGCAGTTCAACCAAATATTGCTGATCACCTGGCTCATAATTTAGTATACAATAAAAAGGAAAGTAGTGATGAAATTGCGGAAGTGTCTTGCGGAAACTCAGTTATTGGTCACCAGTATATCACTTAACTCTAAGGTTAGGAACAACAAAAAAGTCGAGTGTCAAATGATATAATTAAAGAATTACAGGATATATTTTGTTTAATATCACATTCTCATGAATCCAGTTTAACTCTTGAGGATGTGTCTAAGAAAAAAGGCCAGAAAGATAAGTTTAAAAAAAACTCAAAAAAATTAGTATACATCAAAAATAAAGCAATCAGAAAATAAAACTAAAGAGAGTTGGAAAATTATCAATTTTGAATTAGGTGTGAAAAAGAAAGATAGTAAAGATGATCCTGGCAAAGAAGCATACATTTTTGCTGAGTATTTTGCAAATGCATCAGATTTTGCATTGTTAAATAATTTTGGCCAAAATATGTTCCTTCCTTGTACTAATGCACAATATATCACCATAGAATATCCATTCCTACCAACCTCACCCTGTCATGGAATATTAAGCAGTTGATTGTCTTAATAATAATAATAATGATAGAGTTACTTCCTGATCCCTCTGCATAAAAAACTTAGCCCAAAAGATGTTGACAACTACAGACAATTTTTTTTCTTCTTTCCTTATCTAATTTGTTCGAAAAAGTAGCATGGATTCATCCAATCCATATAAACATCGCCATGTTATGTACTTAATTACATATATAAAGTAATAGACAAGAACATGCTAGTTAGATGCAAATAATTCGTTTGACATCATCAGATTGTGAAAATAGGTGTACCACGGGGTTCAATATCTGCGTGCATTTAAATTAAAAAATGTCATGAACATAGATCAACATACTATGAAAAGCCTCCATATTACATTTTATGATAAACTACTGAAATCATTCGAACAACTAGGAAGTTTTACCATATTTCAAAACGAAGTGGAAGCCTTGTTATTAGAGAAATACTATTATGAATTTTTAGTTGGTTATCTTCAAAATCAAAGAATAATGTCTACATCTTTGAATATATATTTGACTTACTACATATAGACAATGATAGGTAGTTTTATGAATAAAACATTTGTATGTTATTATTTAGGTTACTTAAGTGTTTCATCTGGAATTACGTCAATTTTTCCATTTGAAGAGAAAGAAGCACAGCTGGAAAAGAAAGATAGCAAAGAAAGTAATAGCACAATAACAAATGAACCCATTCTGCAACTATCTTCTAGTTATGATCAAGCTGACCAAATTGCAGACTCAGTCGTAAATAGTATTAGTGAAAGTTCAGATCAGGAACCTACAAGCTTACCAGATAGTATTTCTCAAAATCCCAATACTGATAGTGGAAATACAGATACTCTACGAAGCCCTTTGTATGAAAGAGAGACCACAGAAGATCTGGCATCATTTCTGATAGATAGGGCGTGTCAGAACTTCAAACTAGCCAACTATTTTTATTGGTATCTATTATTAGAATGTGAAGATCAAGATTCAAACTTGAACCAAGATGCAAGTGATGTGAGTATACCATTTTGTAACAAAATATTCAAATAGTTGAAAAAAAAATTACACAAATATATATAAAGTAAAAGTCTATATTATGTTTTCAGATAGCTACTAGAAGTAAGTCAAATATAAGAAAAATATTATCAAGTTTTGTAAGGAGCTGTATCTATCTATGTCATCTATAGTAGTGTTCTGAAAGAACTAAGCAACGGTAGCAAAATTGAGCTGAAATATTTGAAGTATATCTGTTTAAATCTGTTTAAAATCTGTTTTTCCGTTAATCAGCTGCCGCCCCCATACGAACGACAACTCTCAGAAGTTGAGAAACTTGTGCGAGCTAAGGACTAACGAGGTCTTACCTTTTAACGTGTGATTTCTAACACGGTGGCAGAATCATTCCAGCGTCAACCAGATAAATTCTCTCGAGAAAAATATCTGGTCGTGGCGGGATTCGAACACACGACCTTCTGATCGTGAGTCGGACGCACTACCACCGCGGCCAATTCCACAACAAGTATACATCACAAAAATAGGAGTTGATGTTACTATAATGGAAACTTAAGTTTTTTTTCACAGCTAAATATATTCAACATTTCTTTCAACTTATGATATTCTTTTTCACAGCAGTAAAAAAAACATTAAACATTCAGTCATAGTAGCTGGCACTTAGCTCCTATAGAATCTAAAGTTAGGTAGAGTTAACACCAGAGCGATTGTTCTATCTTGGTAACCATTGAATAATGAACTTCTCATTTACTTGGGTTCATTTTAATCTGTTTGCGTTAGATTCACCACCAGACTCTTATTCTCGTCCTCTTCATACATTCTGTCGAATGTTCTCTCTGGTACCATGCTGATTTTTGTTAAATCGAATATGAATTTGCAATTTATTGCGAATTATCTAATTTTTACATACCATCCCGCTGCGGTTTCGTCAATTTGCTTGAGTTTATGAAACTTATGCCTTTGTCTCCAGAGACTCACTACGGTATTATACTCTTTTTTTTATCATTCACATAATTCTTCGGAAGTATTTTCTTTCGCTAACACAGGAAAGCACAAACCATCAAGTAATTTAGAAGCTGATTGGCCTAACTAAAAAGTACTGGCGTGTAGGCTTTCTGATTAATAATTTTGTCAACTTCGAAATGTTGTTCCACTCAGCGTCAATTTCCCACTCTTCAATATCTGAAGAAAATTCTAGAAATTTCACTTTACTGTTCATTTCAACTATTCGACGCCATGTTCTATCTTGATAACCATTAAATAATAAACTGCTCATTTACTTTATGAGCATTTTAACGTCGAAAACTTGAATACGTGAAAAAGACAATACTCATACAAACTGCAAGGATACACCGATACTCCAAGTGTTCGGGAAGATGCCAGAAGTGACGCCTTGTGGCTTATGATTACCAGTCTTTGGTTACATAATAGCTATAGTTGAACGCCTATAGGATTTAGACTAGATCTTTCCATGTCTGGATTCTGCTTACCACATACACCAATAGAATTGAAACCTGTGAAAGCTTCATAAATTGGAATACCACTAATCCAATCATTTAAACTAATTGATTTTAATATTTATCCATCCAAATTTTTTTACGTATAAATATAATTTCATATTTGTAGAGTAGACTACAATGTGATCAAAGTCTGCCTGATGTCTTGTTAGCTCATCAACCTTAGTGACAAATAAATGGGAGAAAGTAGGAGGTTAATTAACATTTCTTCAAACTACCTCTGTAGAAAATAGGTTTATGAAATTGAATGAATAATATTTTTTCATTTATGCCATTTTTATTATAATTTTTTCAAATAACTAATTATTAGTTAGTGTTAGGCCATTACTTTTGAGAGCCATGCTGGTTTTCACTAAATATCCACCTTGAAATAAAGTGATGATTTTTATTTATTTCTTTTCAGGAAGTTACTAGAAATATGTATCTTACTGTAATGAAAAGATTTTCTCAGGCATTAGCCAAAGGTTATGAATTCATGCAGGAGAAAAGAATTATTTTGTCAAAACAGCAAAAATTCATTGACAAAATTGTGACATTGATAACAAATATATCTAAGGAAACAGGAAATCGCAAGAAGAGGGCTGAAAGATTGCAGCAACTGTTAGCAGATCCTGACTCTCTTAAATTTAATTTCTCTAAATTTGATCCTATCCCTTTCCCATTAGATCCAGAAGTGATCATCAGTGGAATAGTACCTGAAAAAGCTTGCCTTTTTAAATCGGCAATGATGCCGGCTAAAATACATTTCAAGACTGCTGATGATGAAGAATATGTAGCCATTTTCAAATATGGGGACGACTTGAGACAAGATCAACTCATTCTGCAGATGATTACTCTCATGGACAAACTGCTCCGGAAAGAGAATCTAGACCTGAAATTAACACCATATAGAGTTCTTGCTACTAGTACAAAACATGGCTTTGTTCAATTCATTGAATCTGTTACTATCGCTGAGGCTGTAGCCACAGAAGGTGAGTTCAGTTCATCATTTTTCATTTCAAAAATAATTGAATTCATTTAAAGAGAAATATTTTTAAATGCCTTTCTCTAAGTAGATATCCGTCACCTGTACCTGTACATTATATTTTAAATTTATGAGATACATCATTATTTTCGTTTCATTATCACTTTTAAAGTTACAACTTTTCTTATAATGATACTGCATATGGGATCGACTGAAAAATTTATTCATCAAAGATGAATTGGAAGCAATAACTGCAACTTGTGTTTTCACTCTAAACAGAAATTTAGGTGATACCAGAGCCAAAAGTGTTTCATTGAGCTGGGACACAAATGCAATGTTTAGATTCAGCTGTCCATGACACCAACAATCCTTAGTAAAGTGAGCAGGACAAAATCAAAATAAATCACGTTCATGTTCAATAATAGAGGGTCTACAACAAAGTTTTGAAGAGCAAACTTTGACCGCCAACTGGAAAATCGCTTTCTATCTCTCTAAAGCTTTCAGTGGATAACACTCATCTGGTTTCGAGGTATTACCTTTCATCTGTGCAGAAAACAGCAAAGTGCCTGGTACTCGATTAATTTCAATGCAGCTCAACTGCATATATGAAATCTTCGTTTAAGAGAAAGTTTGTTAACTAGTAACTGCTCCATCTAGTGAACAAAGCGTCAAGCAGGGAAGAGTGGAATATTGGTGCATGGGCTGTACCACTACTCTACTGTATGTACCACTGTAGGCGGTCTAATCGAATAATTTCAGTATGGTCCTGCTGCTGGATGAACAAGAAATATTTGCGAGGCTAACCTCTGTGAGGTATTTTGCATAAATGTCTATCGGATATGATTCAATATCCAGCGTGACATTAGCCGGGAAAGTAGTTGTTTCTGGCAGGCCTTTACCAGAACCTACGATGTAGGTAGTTGGGAGAGATGAATATTTCGAGATTTTATTTAGAATTATTCATTTTCTAGTATGTATGTTTCTCTCCTCGATACAGTCTTTAGATACGGTTTGATCTCTGTAGAATACTCTAATGATTGCTTAGCATGATCCCACTTACTTCCACCATAACGCCCCATCTTCTGTAGCATACTAATACATGCATACATGAAGTTAAGGTTAAAAATTTATTGGACAAAGTTCCTCCCAAATGTGATTAGAGAAAATACAATTTAAGTTGATAAGATGTGATCAAATGGAACTTGTAATGCCAAACGTTTGTCTGCTACTGCGTCAGATATCATCAGTGGTATATGCATTGACTTCGAGATATAACCTTTGTCCTCACAGCCGACACACATATCACTGATGATGTCTGTCGCAGTACTACTAGCTTCATTCGACCACGGCCTACCAGTCAGGATTTTTTTTTCTCTGATCGTGATTCTGGCTGTCAAAAGCTCATGTGTTTATATCCCTCCCGAATATATTCAAAAGATTCAATGTCTGTGGATAATTGAAGAATGGCACTGAAATGAGTAATTATATGTTATTAGTTTATCTCACTTTACAAGTTTTTATCTAATTGCAGGGTCTATTCAAAATTATTTTCGAAAGAATCATCCCCAGGAAAATTCTCCTTATGGAATTGCTCCTGACATTATGGACACTTACGTGAGATCCTGTGCTGGATACTGCATTATAACCTATTTGTTAGGGGTAGGCGATAGACATCTAGATAACCTGTTGCTTACAAAAAATGGAAAACTCTTTCACATTGATTTCGGATATATATTAGGAAGAGATCCAAAACCCATGCCACCACCCATGAAACTTAGCAGAGAAATGGTTGACGCCATGGGTGGTGTGAATGCAGAACATTTTCAGGAATTTCGCAAATTATGTTATACTGCATTTCTTCATCTTAGGAGGTTAGTTTCAACTATGTATTGAATTGTTTCATCTCACATTTATATTGTACCCTTACCTCAGAAACTGTACGACCTGATTTGTTTGAATATGGTTTCTGTTGAGAGTACTTTTGGAATGAATTTGTCTGAAACGATTTCACGCCTTATTATGTTTATTTATCTAAATAATTTCCGTGATTACTTACTGACCAAATTCAGTGATGCCAGGATATTCTTTATCACGCATTAAAATTATACGTCCTAACTGGATATCTTTCACAAATATAAAATGTTCATATTACAGTTAAAAATAATAATAATAATGAATAATTCATTTTAATAAAAAACCTAATACATAAACAAATCGATTTACACATTTAATTGACCTATCACTGTGAAATACACTTGAAGAACATTATAATTGTCAATTTTCTAAATCTATGAAAGATTGAATAGTTTAAATGCTTCTAAAGGTCCTGATGCAGATGATATTCCTTCGTCATTATTGAAGCACTGTAGTTTTGTTCTTGCTCGATTTCTACACATTATTTTCAATAATTCCATTAGAGCATTTTGCCAGCTTTGTAACCCCTATATACAAATCTGGTGATGAGTCTGATATTACAAACTACAGAGTACTCTGTATTCAAAGGAGCATTACCAGAGTTTTAGATTTTGTTAATACTAAACACCTAATACTACTCTTATTCATAGTAAACAATTTGGATTTCGCCCAGGGAAGTCTACTCAGTTCAGTCTTTCTGTAGATTATGTCTTGAACGTAGGTGACCAAGTTCATTCCATTTACACAGATTCTTCCAAGGCATTTGATAAAGTCAATTATACCCGATTAATTCAAAAACTCGAACATATGGGAATTTGTGGCAATCTCCTATCTTGGTTAAAAGTTATCTCTCTAATCGGATACAGGTAACTCGAGTCAACGGATTTAAATCTATTGGAAGTTTACTACTATCCAGTATACCCCCAAGGATCCCATTTGGAACCATTGCTGTTTAATGTCTTTATTTCTGTACTGCTTCTCCAATGCAGAATTCCTAAGCTTCGCAGATGATTTCAAAGTTTTCAAAAAAATCGATTCACAAGACGACTGTGTTCAACTCCAGAGCGAACTGAACCGACTCCTCTACTTGGTATCTTGACAATGTTATGGAACTTGATACACGTAAATGCCATTTCATAATTTTTAGCTGTAAACATATTCCTTCATCATATTCCTTTCCTAAGAAGTTGCACCTTAGACTTCACTGATATTAAATGCTTGAAAATTCTATATTGCTCTCTGGTAAGAACTCATTTCGAATACGTATTCTCCTTATGGAACCCATCATATGCAAGCCACATCCATAAGAACAAGTTCAGAAAAAATTTCTAAGATTGTTTGCGTTTTAATCCAGAATTACTTCCGAGAACTACACATACAATTATCCACAACTACATTCTCTCACTGATCTCCAATCACTCCGTAACAGATGGGATGATAAAGACTTGAAGAAATTTTTCAATGGAATTGTTCACTGCCCCTCATTGCTACCCAAGGTTCTGACTTCGAGCCTCTCCTAGATTCACTAGAAATTTAGTTACATTTTACCAACCACACTGCAGAACTAATCAGTACCTTTATTCCTTTGTGCGGCAGACTACAAGAACGGCAAATAAAACGGACTTTGATTTCTTCACTTCTGTATCAAAGTTTCAGAAACAGCCGAATTGGGGATGGAATGTGTAGTTTCTGCGAACTTGGTGCACTCGGGATATAACCCATGGAATATTTCTAATTTTCAATTCTAACTTCTGAACCAAATCTAGTTACAACTCTATTTTGTATATGTTAACTTGGAATACCGTTGTTGCACCAGATTGTATAAAAAATGTTGGAATATTTTGAAAAAACAGTCATGTATGCTTTATAGTTTGAAGCATCTCAGTATTTTTCACAAATATTATTTTTCTTCTTTTTTAGACACGCCAATTTGATGCTCAACTTGTTTTCTCTGATGGTTGATACTAGTGTTCCTGATATAGCACTGGAACCAGATAAAGCCGTAAGGAAAGTTCAAGACAAACTGAGTCTTGATTTAGGGGATGAAGAAGCAGTTCACTATATTCAAAATCTGTTGGAAACATCTGCAAGTGCAGTAATGCCTGTCATTGTAGAACACTTACACAAATTTACTCAATATATCAGAAAATAATATCTGATAGGAAATAGTAAATGAATAAATTAAACTTTTTATGTTTTGAATATTACTGGAGTTCTGTCCCAACACCAAACCGTTACATTTTTTACACCTTGACACGTGTTTTAATCATCAAGTGATCATCTTCAAGAGGAAGATTGTTTTTATACGAAATGCATTGAAATTGGAGTTTGATTAGATGATTTTAAGATTTTCTAAATGCTGTTGGGGTTAGTACAGCCAGACTGCATTGCCCTCCGTGAAGCTCATCGACTCCAACTTTTTGTTAGATCTTATCTTCATCCTGTTACTAGAAAGCTGTAATTTGGATCTGGCAAATTTTTGGACAATTTCCAGTCTCTTCGTCAGGTCATTCATTGGATAGACTACAACACATTACGTTTATCGGAATTTCAGTTCTTAAGAGGAATCCATACCCACTTTGAAATGATGTTACTTATAATTTCACGAAAAGTTGTTTGATTTTCATGCAGCTTACACCGATCGCTTCGAAAAAATATTCTTGAGATGGGTAACTATTGTTTCTCGATTTTTCTTCAATAAAAAAAAATCTATACTTGATTGTTTATAAATAATGGAAAATGGGGGTTTCCCTCCAGTGAATATATGTTTTAAAAATTCGGTACATTTCCAAATCATTACATTTTCAAATTAAACCATTGAGAAGTAAAATAGAAAATGCATTTTCGGCATCCAGTTCATGGCGTCCTCTAATCATTCGAGAATTCGTTTTCCGAGATTGCAATTGCAAACCACCCCGAACCCACAGGCGTACGGAATCTTACGCAGACATATTACGTTCACTGTATCAGTGTGAGTTTGTATTTATATGAATTATGTTATTACGTTTCGGTAAATATATACTTTTTGGTTCTTTTGTGATCATGGGAAAGATAAAAGGCAGGCTAGGCGTTGCGGAGGGAAAACGATTGTTCGCAAGTGAGAAAAGACGTAGTCGTAGAAATGTCGGAAAGAAATCATTGATGACAAGGTAAGTGTTTCTGACTATTCAAATAATTAGTTTCATCACACCATTTTGGAAATTTGAACGATTTCATTATAACTGAGCAACAATGATTATGGCAAATTTATTGGAATTCAACTTCGCATGCAATTTTTTTTTATATGACAAAACGAGTAATCATGCCCGATTCTCCATTCATAGAAGAAAAAAATCGCGTTCTTTTCATATGAACGTCTCTAGATCCATGGTTTATTGGGATACAGGTTGTCGAAATTTCATTTATTGATAAATTATATTTGAACTTTTCGGTTATCTCTCAGTTTTTATTATAAAGAATCATACATATTGTATGAATGCTCACTATTCATTTATCCTACGACCAAGCACATATAATTGAAGTATTAATATGGAATTGTAGGAAAGGAAACGTTTTGATAATGCTATTATTTTCATTTTGGTATATATTTCCTTTAAATTTATAATTTCCTTTTGTTCATAGGATTTCCGGGAAACAATTTATAACTTAACGTTTTTCAGGTATTCCCAGAGAAATTTTTTGAAAACCTTTTGAATGGAATTGTAATACCTTTTTAGTTTCTGTATAAAATTTCTGAAAAAATATGTCCTTAAATAATTGGTTATTAAGAGGTATGACTGAACGGACGTATCCGATACGATACTTTCCAATGGATAGCCCTTGTGTTACGCCATTTTTTTTGCTCACTTAACCAAAACTCTGTCTTATACTGTTTTGACCCACGATTGTTTTATCGTGAGTATGAATGCTCAATGCACACAAGAATTACAATAACTCTTGTGAAAAGATAGGATAATAAAAATAACTACTAGATGTACTGTAGACAAGACAAGATTTAATTCTAACTGTACTGTTAAAAGGTTTGAAACGTAATGAATGAATTTTACAAAATGGCCATGTTCCACATCGGCAGTTAGAGAATGGATTTCAGATTGTAGGCATAAAAAAAGGTTTATATTAACATAGGTAGGAGAGATTATAAAAGCGGGTAATTCCCAAGATAAGGGATACAAGGAACAATTAAAAAATTAAAAATGTACGGGTTGCTTGAGAAAATATATTTGGGAATATTGAATTTTATTAGCATAAGTGGATTAGAAAGACCCGGGGGAAAACCCCGATTATGAATAATGAAAAATTAAATGACTTAAACAAGATTAGTTAGCAATACATAAAATAAAAATAATGCCATAAAACAGTCTGTTTTGTTGTACAAATTTTAGAGCTGGCAACTCTAGGCTAAATACTAAAAAATTAAGATTCACTTCTAAAAACATAATAATTTCGATAGCAAGCTTTTGAGATCGAACATATACCATTTCAGATATCCCCATGTTGGTCTTGGCCTCATCGAGTATGTGGTATTATATTAGTTAGTTTTCGTCGTAGGTTGTAGAAAGATCATTATTTCGTTTCTTGTAGGACAAAGTCAACTACTGACAATTCTAAAAAGAGTGAAGAGTTCATTTCCACCTTTCCAACATCTGTTCAAGTTTCGGAAAGGTAATCCATTATTCCCATGAAACATAGTACTTCCTTGTGGATACATCAGCAGATCAATCAAACATTTATTTTTCAGTGATAATATCAGTGATGATGTTTAGTCAATGTGTAGCAAATATCTCTCTGCCGTAGCCTCACCCGTTCAAAATGTGGAAACGACTGATAAGATTACCCAAAGGTAGGAATATATTCGTTCTGATCTATCTGGTATGAACTTATATGTTATTTTTTCAGGTCTTGTATAGGCATATCTCTGCAGGGGCGACGTTTGACAGATATCGGATATTTATTTATTTCTGCAATTAGCAGAAATATCTAAGCACCCACCATTCGATTGTACATTGAGTGATATGTATCCAACTCATGAATATAAAATGGGTTTGAAAACCAAAGTTAGTATGCAAAATGTGCAATATCAAAAAAACATTCATCTTATAGAAGAAACCGACGGAGGAATGGACATAAATAGCGTTTTAACGTTGGCCACAGTTTCAACCGGAAATGGCTACTCTACAGTAAATGAGATGCTCTCTGTTTTAAATGTACCGTTCATGAGTAACTCTACTTATCAGCAACACCACGAAAATGTAGCTGATATCATTGAAGAGACTGCTTGGAAGGTCATGGAGGAAGCAGGTCAAGAAGAGGCTCGAATAGCTCAGGATTTAGGAGAGGTGGGTGATTTTCTCCTAGAAAGTACAGATTATATTTTGACCTATTACAGTGCTTTTCTTTAATCTGTCTTCTTCCCTCTTATTTTTTGAACGAATTCAATTAGGAAATTGAAATGTGGAATGAAGTGTTAGTTTTCTGATTTTAGTGTCAGGTGAATAAAAAATCTGCAATTTTATGTTGGGTAAATAATCTGAAAATATACCTTTAAAATTAGGTAAAGTAAGCCCGCCCATCTCAGATGGAGAAGTGTTTTTTTCCGTGCAACTTCATTTTTATTTGTGCAATGAAATGAACATAATAATCAAAATTCAATTAACAGATAGAAAGCAAAGTATTTAAAAAAATTGGCCAGTACCTCCAGGCCTAAGGAAACTAGTCGTAGGCACTAGTCGAAGAAGACTATGCACCTCAATAAAATCTGCTACGATGTCCAGGTTTAGAGAAAAAACTTCTTTGGTCCAAAAAGTTGCAAACTTATGCAGAGGCCTTAAGAATATTCCATCACATGTATTCGGACAGCATGAAAAATGTCAGGAGATAGCATATTTCAAGTGTTCTGTAAGGTTAAATGAAGTTGATCATATCCTCAGCATGAGAGCGTGTGGTCTATTGGACGATATTGAAGTTTGTATCAACCGCTTAGTTTTAAATGCAACCATTGATAGCGGATCTGGATACCAATATCGCTGAACAATACAATGGCATCATCTGCAAATTTGTTGGAGGAAAAGGAATTAACTATTCCCGTAGAAAATCCTATGCGATACGTTGTAAAGCTGCTGCTATATCATTCAATTCTACCGGGAACTATTATAATGTTCTTGGAAAACGCAAAGATCTGTTTTATAAGATATGTAGAAAAAATCGAAAGGAGACGTGAACTTCAGAAAATCAGGAGACGCAAGAATAAAAACTTTCCAGAACTAAGAACTAAGAAGGAGCATGCCCTACCAGATGAGGATTATGGCCCGGATGCTAATCCTGATCCAGATTTACCTACTGATCTCAACAATCTCACAATATGTGATATAGAAACGAAAAAATTGGTTTTCATTGATATTTTATCTGCCTTCAACAATTTAACCTTATTTTTTAAAAAACTTTGTGATCATAAATATTGAAGTTTTAGGTTAAGCAAATTGTGAATAATTTTTATTTCATGCTGCATAAAAAATAACAAAATTATTAGGCATTTTTTTTAGATTGTTAAGGACGATTTATTTTGGACGAATGATATGAAACCAAAATTAGAGATTTCTTACATGGCTTGCCTCTTGCCAGAACTGATAGATCCTAGATACCTGAGGAAATTGGAAATTAGCAATCCACCACGACAGTAAACATACAGAAATGAATTTCGTTCAATAAAACATACTAATGAAAAAACGTTAGCTGCGTATTAATCCTCACAAAATACATTCGACATCATATTTTTGATACCTAAATAAATACATTTCAAATTGCTTTCAATTTTTTTCGTCTTTAGACAAAAAACAGCATATCTACTTCTCGACTGTCTGCCATAACAATACAGTTTCCAAACAATCGAACATGTATTTATCGATAGAGATATGGTTACCTTGGTATTTATCTGTGAATAAGGCAAGTACCTAGATAAAACCCTGACCTCCGACTATGTGCGTTTATTGTAATATGCAACATAAAGGCGGAGATTGCGCGACGACGTGCTCGCCCGTTTCCGTAGTGAAATCGTCAGTAAATTGGGAGATGTGCCATTTGAAAAGTTGTCTTTGATCATCTCACTTGCATATTTTGGAACACGCCCACCGATCCGCTCGAAATTTTGAGGTTAATGTATTTTCACAACCCGAGTGCAGGTGTTCATTCCTCTTAACTGGTTAACTACATGTAGCCTGTCTTTTCATATTGAGAGCTCCAATGTGCTAACAAAAAGAAAGGATCCAGTTTAACCTAGTCTCTTCAGTTTTCGGTGACAAACATCGAGAGATAGTTGTTTAGAGTGCCTCTTGGTTGGGTGAGGCTACTACTTAAGGCTATTTGTATGAATAATGTATATACAACCATCAGGTAGGTACTTGTTACCGGATGTGATCACAAGAAGAGTGGTCCCAGAATGTCAGCAGCGATTCTATCAAAAGAGCATCCACTGAGGTGTTATTACTTCAAACTTTTTCCCAGCCTTATCTTCGGACCCTTCCTGGAAGAGCACAGGTGATAGCGCTTACACCACTCTTCCACGTCTAGGCGACAATTGACCCAATACTACCACTCCTCTCACTAGAGTTATGTTTACTCTGAAATGTGCGCCATCGTGATGCTCATTGAGTACATTTGAGATACATTTGGTCACTTCGAATGCACTTGCTGGCCGGGCTTGGAAATCTCTAGCTATTCCAGCCTCGCACCTTTGTCAATCCATTCACATACTGTTTTCAAAACTGAATCCCCATTTTGCGCTGCCATGATATCGTGCCTAGTCATGAAAGTAGTGTCACCTTCAGGATCTGTTTCCAACTGTCCCACCCCGTGGTCAGGTGATTTCTCTCATATTCTAATAGTATCTCTGGACAAGGAACCCTTATAGGTTGCTACTCTCTGGGTCGTCAGAGGGAACCTGGAGAAATGTGATGTAGAGGAGCTTATCTCCATATCAGAGCTATCCATAAAGTAGTCTCTGTCTGCTACCCTATCATATTTGGTGGAAAGTTCTTCTGGTAAATGGGTATACTTGTCCTTCTGGTGTTGACAAAATTTGCATCCGGATTTCAAGCATGGTCTTTTGTCCTTCTGGGGATTTGAAGTTGAGGATCCACCTAAGTGCTGAGTTGCCTGACCTGGTTAAGTATTGACGGCCATATAAAAAGAAGTGATAATGATCCACCTCCTTAACTACTAGAGGAGCTCTTCTCTGGTGAAACAATAATTTTTTTTGATATTCCTAGGAACTTACTAAAATAACTAATAACATCTTTTCTTACTTGTACCTATTAGAGTACTGCTCCTATTCCATGTTACGATGCATCCGTATCGAGTATAAATAAGCACTCCTTTTTTCAAATTAGCGTATCCACATTATCACAGGTAAAGTTCAGGTACTCAATTAAGTTAAGTATCTCTGTTATTATCTACAGTGGTGTTATATAAGGGCTAATGTAATCAATCATTTTTAGTTTAATGTATAAGTTTGAAAATGTCCTTATAGGACAAACTACAGTAACATTAGTTACAAATAAAAGTGGTGAAAAACATAGAAAGTTTCAATTCTCATTTTTCATGATGATTTCCTACCACTCAGTAACGGCTATATCCATCAATTTATTCAAATTTATTTATCTACTACACTAACAAATTCAACCCAAAAACCAACTAAAATTTAGACCAGAGGTTTCCAAACTTTTTTTCATCATAGACCACTTTCAGAATTTTGCTGGTTTCGGTGGACCACCTGCAACTACATTTCCACCATATTCCTAAAATTCGTCAAAAAATGTGAAGATTAAATCTAACTATGGAAATTTGTGTTGCGGCTGCGTTTGAAGAACGAATTAACAGTTTTTTAATAAAAAGAGAATTGATTGGTTAAATAATTAGTTGATAGTGCCTTGCGTAAAAAGTTGGTCAATCAAAAAAAAATGATTCCATCCAACTTTACTTTTTTAACATCTACTCCCATCACAAGAAATAAATCGTCACTTATTTTATTCAGAAAACTCGCCATTCAGTGTGGTAAAAATAAAAATAGTATATTTTCTTGTGTTATTTATTCAAATATGTAATTATTAAACTATAATGACATTCGTTGTAATTAAAATTAAACGTTAATAACGTAACTTCAACACTACAATGACAATCACAAAATAGTCATAATTTCAATGGAAGGGATGTACTTGTTGATGGATTGTAGGCAAATTATCAAATTTGACTTCAGTTTTGTTAGGAATAATCGCAAACCTCCCCGTTCTGTGATATTCGATCTGCTCCTTTTTAGTTTTTCACTATCGACGCCAGATAAATTTTCGTGGACCCCCGCTTACGAAGCGAACCCCCATTTTTTTGGTCGCGCCAACGTAGACCCCCCCCATCGAGTCTCTCGTGGTCCCCTAGGAGTCCATCTGGACCACTTTGGGAATCACTGCTTTAGACTAATGCTCAAATGTCAATAGCCTTATTGCACTTTCCGAACTAGACTCTTTCCTATGTCGCGGTGAATAAAGGGGAGGTACAGGATTTTATTCAGGAAAAATTTAGAAGCTGGTGGAACAACCAGCTTCTCGAACGGCGTTCTAGAAGTTTCGAGAGGAGACTAATTTGGGGCTGAGCGTGACCTTGACCAAGTTGCATTCGATCGGAGAAGACCAGCACTGGTCAGCGTCATTTTCTTCAGAAGATATTTTAGAACAATAGAGCCCAGCTAGGTGTATGCTTCTAAATTTGAACCTCAATATATTGACACTGCCTTCTTTATACATATATCAGTGCCTAATATTCGCCCATAAACATAGATCTTTCTTTGTAGTGCACTGTATTATGTGTGGTTACAATATAAGACATAAGCATTATATTCACATTGATTTTTGTCGTTTGAGTGAAACACAAACAGGTGTAAACTATCTTGTCCCAAAACTTGCTTGCTCAGACTGAATAAGTTTAAATTGAAATTCATCCTATAATGAATATTTCAATGACATTGAATACCAGATATTTTCCTCGAGACAATTTATCTGGTTGAAGCTGGAATGATTCTGGAATGACACGTTAAAAGGTAAGATCTCGTTAGTCCTTAGCTCGGACAAGTTTCTCAACTTCTGAGAGTTGACGTTCGTATGGGGGCGACAACTGATTAACGGAAAAACAGATTTTAATCAGATCCATCATGATATACGGTATATATTTGTCAAGTCCTATTTTAGTTTTTAATAATTAGGTTGAATTTCTTATGACTAGTGTAAACAAATATGTATGACATTAATAAATCTATCTATGAAAGACATTTTTGTGGAGGAGTCAATGTTTCTATTTATGGGTGTATAAATTTACACATTCTGAAAAATAAAGCTAAATCAATAGAGAATCTGCTGAAGTGTAATAGCAGGCAACTTTTCAGATTATAGAAGGTTATATACCCAAACCAAAAAAAAACAAACATTTTCTCCATAAAAAATGACATTCGAAGTGAGAACAAAGGCAGAGGTAACACTGATGTTGGCAAGATCCACCTATGGAATGACATGGGGACTGTAACCAAACATGATTTTTAAAACCATGATAACATATGCATCTATGGCCTGGTGGCCAAAGATTAAACAAATTACCTCTATTGACATACTAAGCAGGGTGCAAAGACAACATATGCTCGGACCACATGTCACCGAAATACACGATTAAAGTCTTCAATCGCGAAGAGTGGAGAATAAACGCTCTTTCCAAAAACATGCTCGGCAGAACAATTTGTAGTATACAGACGCGTCGAAAAGAGTACAAGCTGGAATATAATGTGCGGGCAGAAATCTTCATTAAGAGGTACCTGCTCGGTAATAAGAACACATCAGTCTTCCAGGCTGAAATGTATGCAATCTTGCAAGGAATATTAATTCGAGGCTTTAACAAAATGACATACAGCCAGGCTGCACTAGTGGTACTGGCGAACCAAAAACTGAAATCGAGACTGGTCTGGGAATGTCGTAAGGAACTGAGGAATCTGATGAACAGAACTACATTGATTTTACATTGGGTGCCAGAATACTTGGGCAACGAAAAAGCTGAAGAGTGTGCCGGACACGGATCATCATCAACTCCATTATAAATACGATTGAAGACTCGTTAGATCAGTACCAGTTAGGGAAAAAAAGATAAAAGTTTCACCTAAACATTTCAATAGTAAACATAGACCTTTGTATGCTGAAATGAACATTTTCCATCTAAATATTCAATGTCTTAGTAACAAGATTGATGACGTAAATTTATTCACATCAGAAAATTTGTATCATGTTGTATGTCTCGGTGAAATATAGTTGAAGAAGGAACAAGTACCTACAATCCATTGGTATTAAAGATTACATAATCATGAGTTCTTACTGTAGGCAAAATTTCAAACATGGAAGTGTGGCAATATTTAAAAAATCTTCCATCACAAAAAATTGACGTTAGTCAGAATTCACACAACTGTAGTGATTAAAAATACTGTTATAGTGACAATATATAGATCTAATTGTGGTGATTTTGATAAATTCTCCAATTATCTTGATATCTTGGAACCAGGAGCCATACTGAAGTTGTACTACTAGGGGATTTTAATGTAAATTTTATTTCACACAGCAAAAAAGAAAATGCTTACAAAATATACTCATAATTTTGAAACTCTCTTACGTGAACCTACTAGGGTTACTGGATACTCCGCCACATGTATTCATAACATCTGCGATAATTTTAACAGCTATCTAGACTTTGGAATCATCTGTTTGGGAGAACAAACAAATAAATCAGGCAAATAGATTGGACACCATTTTCACAATCCAAATATCTTAGCTAAATTCTTGTGTGGTTATATAACGTATGTGTGCGATTGAAGTGTCATTTCTTCTAAAAAAAGTAAATCAAAAAATCCATAAACTAAAGTGGTTCTTCACAGACGATCTGAAAAAATAAGAATTGAACTGAAACAAAACAAAAATATTTATAAAATTACGGTGAATCCAAAATCAAAACACTCTTATAAATCAGCAAAATGAAAGACTACAAAAAAATCATAGTAAAAATGTTTTCAAAAACTGGAGAATAGTAAATGAGATCAGAGGGAAATCCAGTTTCAGGAGTGAATGCAGTGTTCAGTGAATATAGTTCCACAATGGTTGACAATATTATCGAAACAATATCTCCCACCGATCTGAGAGGTGAGGATCTTTTGAAAAAGAACGTGAAAACCTCGGTATTCCTGAAACCCACAAACGAGAACAAAATTATTACACTTTTGAAAACCTTAAAAAATAGTAGTAGTATGGATGCATATAATATCAGTTCAAAAATAATAAAACTTGTCCCTGAAATTTCAGAAGAATCTCTTACACATCTGATAAATCTCTGCCCGGCAAATGGAGAGTTTCCGTCACACTTAAAACTGGAGAGAACTACCTACCCATATTCTGAAAAAAATTGATGCTAATAATTGTAACTACAGATTTATAACAATAACTCCTATAATCTCAAAAATAATAGAAGCCATTATCAAGAACAGATTAACCAACTTTTTAGAAAAGGGAAAACTCTTAGATGATCATAAGTACAGCTTTCGTTCTCTCAGATCACTCAAGCTGTCACCGACATAGTCCACATGATAGTCAAAAATCAATATATAGGGATACATACACGTGCAATCTTATGTGACCTGTCAAAGGCATTTGATAGTATTTCTCATGATGACATTCTGTTGAAAAAAACTCCACAAATATGGAATACACGGAACAGCATTAGATCTCATCGAGTCGTACCTAATCTTTTAGGTACAAGACATCAAAAACTATAGAATTCAGACATGGGGTGCCTCGGGGCTCAGTGCTAGGTGCCTTATTGTTCATCATTTACATAAACGACAACAACATTTAGATTTATAGATACGTCTTTATTTTCTCTGGTTACATGTAAACTCAGTAATAAATAACAAATAAAAGCTTTACATACATATCTAATATTATCACACACATAGTTTTTAGACAAAAAAACATAAAATCAGCCATATATAAATAACAATCATATAGTTAGCATACTATCATTTAAGAATTCCTGCATGCTATAATAAGGTTTTTCTAGGAGGTAATTCTTCAATCAACATCATTTCATTTTTGAAACTGGAAAATATCTTAGCGTGAGTGGAATTTTTTTTTTTTTTTATACAATGACTGATATATCAACAGCATATAATACAATATTGTTACTACGTTTTTCCCCGTGGGTTTACTAATAATTGATTGCACTGAACAATAATCCAACTTAACTTTATTTCACTTTAAAATACAACAAACACTTCAACTAAAACTTCAACTATCATTCGAATGTATATCGCCCTACTAGATCGCTTTGCGTACCGTACTGTAACTTCCACTTGACCGTGTCGATATGCTCGTGGCTAGCGTTTATATATCGTAAGTGAATACGGTAGAAAATTTGCCGGAATTCCATCGAAGTCGGTTGCATAATTCTCGCTACATCTAGAGCGGCAGCGAACATCGTACATTCGCGTGCTCTTAGCTACGTCACAATTGATTTATAGCTACCAGTGGCGGCCGGCGTTATTTTCTTTAGGGCATGATTTACAACAATATTTTCATTAATTACATTTGGTATTTCATTTGTGTTCAGTATATATAGTAATGGGCCTAGGATGGATTCCTATGGCTCACGTTTTTATCACAATTAATTATGATTTAATTATCCCCGAGATGTCATTTCCAATCAAATGTTGGGTTCTGCTTGTCAAATAGGATTTGATTATTCCAAAGATGTGCCTTTGATTCCATATTTGTCAAGTTTGTTGCCATAAAATTTCATGGCTGACACTGTCAAATGCTTTTGCAGGTCGATACACAAAGTTACAGTACAATCATCTTTGTTCAAATGATGTATACATTTTTCAATGGCTTGATACATCGCTTGTACGGTTGATTTACACATTATCATCTAAAAACTTGAGTAAACGTTTGTTCATGAGGTGTGGTATCATTAACTAGATTACAACTGAATAGACTTTATTATCTATTTGGTTACAACACTTATTTCTGATCAATAATATATAAAAGTGCAACGCCTTCAACACCGAGGCCATATTCTATCTTTATTACTCTCTCCTACTCCATCTACCAGTGGTACTTCGTACCAACTCCAACGATTAAGGTTATGTCGATGGCTCTGCCTTATGACACACTTGCCAACACACCATAGGCGTAGAATACATGTGACAAATCGGAGTGCAATATAAATGTATCACAATACTCAACAGCTCGTACATAAGATTCTGATTTTCATCAACAGATTTTTTATTTTTAGTTGTTTAATACATTCTATTATTTCAAGCAGAGTGGTAGGTTCATATAAAAAAGCATCCTTCTGGGCTATCTGATTTATTTAGGTCAGGGCAAGCTTCACTAAAATACTTTTTGATTTGATTAGCGTTGGACATTTTTTCATCAGCTGCAATAACGTTACTTAGGACGGAACAATTCTTTTTAAAATACTGAGTACTTATCAACCCTAGTGACTTCTTTTTGTATAATAAACGTTTTCTAGAGCCAAATTTTTACACCCCTTGTTATACATAAATTGGGCCTAGTTTTATTAAATACTTTTTCCACAAAGATCAGTTTCATTATTTGAAAATTTTCGAAAAACAGCTGTATGCTATGTTTACATCTGTACTCTGTGTTACTTTTCCTTTGTTTTCTGTGAAAAACAAATAGGTGCAAGGTACAAAAGTTTTCTATAAAATAAAATAAACAGTATAAATTTGTAACAAGTTTACAGGGTACATTATAACATATTCAAATTGAGTGTGGAGGTTCAGCAAGCATTTTCTTTGCGTCATTTTCTACGCACATGTTCTAAATATTCTGAAGTGGAATAAAAAGAGTTTTTTTAAAATATTTTTTATAACTTTTTCAAAACAAAACATATTCATATTTTTAATACTGGTAGGAAGTGCATTATACAATTTAAAATCATATGAGTTTTTTTGTGATTTCATCAGCCTGAAACGTTGAGGTCTAATAAAATTGCTGTTACGTGTATCATGATTGTGTAAACTGGATTACTTGGGAAATAAGGGGGCTAATAGGCTTGAGTAAACATACAAAGAAGGCACCGACACAATTTCATGAGCAAAACATGCGAGATATTTTTCAAATAAAGTTTGTGGAGATCAAATCGTGAGGTGTAGTTTTTGAAATTACTATGGTTCTTCATCAAGTAACGGCCGAATCAATCGAAAAAAAAAATGAAATTTGTTATTGGTTTCAGCTGTCTAAGTAAAAATAAGGCATTCAATAGCTTACTTTTCAAACTTGAAATGTGGCTTGATCAATTTAGCCTATTGTCCAGAGTAAAACCCAATAATTTGACACACTGGAATTAACTCCAGCAAGATCATGTATAGGCGCAGAACCAGCTGTGGGAGTGCCAAAGTCTGGTAATTAAGCAGAGTACCCCCAAGTAGTAGAGAAAAAAGTAGTGATACAATGGAAGTTGGTAGGTAATCATGAAAAGTTCTGGAATTGATTGATGTATATGAGAACGAAATTAAAAATCCATCATATTTTCTTAAAAGTTATATTACACCAACGGAAAATATACAAATTTGAAAACATAAAAAATAATCACATATTTAAAATAGCCGATAAAGATGCAAAGGCGTGTATGGAATTAGTAAAAACATTGGGCTTATTTTTATAATCAAGTCCCCAATCTGGATTCAATGATGGCATTGGCAAATTTTTTACGGTCTCAAAGTGTGATACACCTTTAGTAATTGATCGTTTCACCATGCTTTCTTTTCTAGATACGAGACTCTGAACTTTTTTTAAACGTATGTCCAAATTTGGTAGATTAAGAATGAAGCGTTTCCATTTTGGAGTGTGAGCAAAAAGCCAAAACAGTGTACATAAATTAGGAAACAATTGGGATTCTTTGTCACACCAATGTAACATCACATTTACAAGATTATCAATATATTCAGGAACAAAGCTATACTGTCTTGTGGGAGGAAACTTGCAAAAACTTATTAATATATTAACCGAGAAAATACAAGCTTTCATCTCCGGTAATGAACGACTGGTAGCACTAAGCATAATATATAACTGATCTGGTAAAAGAGAACCCAATTCTAGGCAAATCTTTTTGCATCGTCTTGTTGCAAAATCTGAAAAATAATAAAAATGTATGTTAGTAAAAATATATGTTATCACCTGTTTCTAAAAGTTTAAGTAAGTCCCTAGTGAAGGAAACACACTATCCGACAGTTGTTATATAATTTCTGCATTCTTTTAATTTGGATTAATTCCTTATACCCTCCCAATATAGTATATATTGAACAGAGAATTATTTCAAAGCTACATAAAACTAGAAGACCAACCACTATTCAGAAGGTGGATTGTGTGCGATTAATAAAATTGAATGAAAGATTGGAATTTCAATTGCCTTTTAGAAACCGTCAACCCAAATGTTTGAATTGTGACTGAAGTAAATATTTTCACAGGATGATTGCATGCGAATAGATGCTGAAATAATAACATAAACCAGTTATGTTCCAGTAAATGCAAAAGAATCAATATATTATGCAGCAAACATTGATTTCAACAATAGTTTCTGTAAAAAAATTCATATTACAACCAATTTGAATAGAACTATCAGAACATTTCATCGAGAAATAGAAAATGAAACAAGTAGAGCAGGAACTTGGCTTGAAGTGGGTCTAATTTATATTGCTGGCTTAATTAATTCACATTAGAGACACACTTAATGAGTGTTACAAAAAATGGTAAGGTTTAAGAAAAATGAAGAGTCCACTTCATCTGATTTTTATGACAAATGTGCTTTAACTTATGTAAAACATCTGAATAGATTCTGATTGATTACTGCATATCATTGAATTCCTCTATGTCAATCGAAATAAAAATATATGGACAACCAAAAAACAATACTTTTGGAAAAAGGACTTACACTGAAAGTGGTGAAATATTTCAAAAGGAAACCACTTGTCAAAGAGAAATGATATTATAAACCAGAATGAAAAGATACAGATGTAGATATATGTTATATTTCTCAGGGCAAATCTCATTCAGCAAAAAACTGACGGAATATACAAGTGAGTCAAGGGTTAACTATTCAGCAGGTCGAAAATGTAGAAAGTGATGAGGCCGGAAATGAAATAAAATTTACATAAAACCCAATGATGTGGAAGTTAATTGGACCATTAGAGGAACTGGTAAGATGTGTTTAGAAGTTCATAATAAAAGCAGAAATGCATGTGAACAATGTGCCTGTAGATATGCACAATAATGCACATAAAACAATAACACACTATTTCTGATGTCAAATAATATAAATAAACAAAAATTTGAACAATTTTCAAAATTGGAGCTGTTTCCAAAATTGCCTATTTTACATATTCATTTATCCCACTACTGATATTTCTCTGCAGATCATCTTATCAATAGTATCAATTCTACTTTAATTCACCAGTTTATAGTTTAGTGCACTTGATGTTGTTTAGCTGACTAATTCCTGTGAATTAAGTTCCATACATTGAGTGCTTATAACCTTCAAATAGTTCTACATGAAACATACCTATATCTTTCAGGGCATTAATAATATGAAATAATGTTGAGCTTGTGTTAGCAAAGGTTTCCAATGCTGCTTTACACTTCCATTCCAATGACTTTTCAGGAACTGCATTAGCATTGGCCGTTTTGAATCGCTGTCGAATTTTTTTAAATTTGTAGTCATCTGAGGAACGGCACTTGTATCCCCTCCAAAACGACTGAAATCATATAAAAATATAAAATTTAAAACATTTGAACCAAGTATACCATTCTTGAGTATCAATTAAAACTGGTTTTGGAGTCTACACTACTATATTATGCTATTATACTATTTTTTTTTTCATGAAACAAACTTGATGAATCTGTCTAGTTTGTGTCACCTGTAAATCAGAAATTAATCATGAGAGAAAATTATAAAACTTTTTTTTATTGAAAGGGATATATTTTTAGAAGAGATTATATTTTTGAGAAAGGAAGGTTTTGGCTTTCTACTTCTTCATTTTTATACACAAAAATGTGGGAATCTTACAAAGAAAGGAAGAAAGCAACTAATTTTAAAATGAACTTTTTTCAAAGATGTGTGTAACTTTCATAAACAAACTGGAAGAAAAAGCCCTCTCAAAACATCTACTTTCATATAAACATTGTTAAAATACAAATTTTCAAAGCAAATTGATGTGCGAAAGTCCAAAACAAGGATGGAAAACAAAAAAGCAGTATAAGCCTTAACACATTTTGAAAATTCTATGTGAGATGTTGACGAGGCATTCGAAAGAAAATAATAAAAAACATGAAAGTGTGAGTCTCTGGCGTAGAATGAATTCAAGACCAACACTGCTCCCACGGCCTGAGTTTCACCCACCAAATTTTGGCATCATTAGAAGATGACCTACAGTAATTACTCAAATCACACTTCATATATTTTTATCTAACAGAATGAATCTTCACTTTCATTTCAAGTAGTCACAAATCATTGATTTACCAAGTAAAAAAAACTTCCCAGCAAAGTCTCCGCTAGTTTTGGGTGAATGGTATATAGAAGAGTAAACAATGAACTGATTAGAATGGAACAATTATTTCTGTTAATAGTTCTATTGCCTCGCTGTACTATTTCCAGACTTTCAAAAGTCTAGGGCCATGTACCACTCTCAACACTCGTAGGTGAATTATTATAGCATAATTTCCCAAAGTGTGTTGAGCGATTTTAAAATGTTCTAGTCTGAGAAATAGTGTGTGCGCTGTGAGATCAGAAAAGTCTGGAGCCACACGAATGCTTTGAATAACTACCATAGAATAATTAAACACTGCATAAAATTGTTGAGATTGATTTGTGATAGATTTTAGGATGATTTCGAAGTCTGGGATAGCAATGTGACAAGAGAAATATGAACGAGACAAAGGTGTTGTAAGAAACAACCCAGTATTTACTCATTTATTAACCACTCACTTGAAATGCGGAAAACCGTGAATTTCACTTAGGAAATCAATGAAGTGTGAATAGAAGTTTGATATTATCAGATTTAAGGAATTGATATGGTTCATCTCCTGATGACAAGAACCTGGCTGGTCAAAGTGACATCGAGAAGAGTGTTGCAATACTGATGTGTGGAAGTATTATTTTAATCTATATGGGTATCCTAACATGTTCCTAATTCAGAGAACTTTCACATTGTCAAAACAACATACCTGAATTTTATTTGCAGCTGCCATTTGAATTTGACGAAGTTTTCTCTCTTCTCTAGCATCAGAAGTGAAATAGTAGGCATATTTTCTTCTTACTAGATATCCTCTAATATACCTCTGAAGACCAACAACTGTATTTTTTTGAACTAAAAATCCATTCCGTGCCTTTTTCATTTGAATATATCCTCTATAGTATCGCTGAATAGATATGACAGCAGATCTCATGTTCACGAAGGTATTCATTTCCATTTTCATCTTTAGGTTAGCTCGGAATTTCCTTTGTAATAATATAGTGCTATGTTTAAGTTGAGAATAATATTTAAGTTGTTCTTTCATAGTCTTATTAGCTCTCCACCTCCGTTGGATAACCAAAACTGCATGCCTCAACTCTACATAATGTTTTCTAGCATTTTGACCCAATCTCAAGACTCTCCAACGTCTCTGAATAATAACAGTAGCTTTTCTCAATTTGCTGAAGTGTTCTCTTTGTTTTGATGCAATTTTAGTAGCCCTCCACCTGTTTTGAACATAAACTATCGCAGATCTGAGTTTGTTATACCTCATTCGATCCTTGCGTGCAAGTTGTTTTGCAATCCATTTGTGTTGTATGAATAGGGTCATTTTCTTCAATTGATCGTAGTATGTTTTCTCTTGTTTGGCCATAATTTTTGCTCTCCATTGAGTTTGGACAATTATAGTAAACTTCTTCAACTGCATGAATTCGTTTCTTTGTATTTTTCCTTTTTGTTTAGCCCTCCAAATCAGTTGTATACATAATGCTGCATTGCGTAATCTCTTATAGTTTTCCTGTGCTAGTTGAGCTAATTTGTTAGCCCTCCATCTTCGTTGGATCAAAATTGTTGCTGTTTTCAGATTTCGATATTTTTGTTGTTCTACGACAGCTTTTCTTGTGGATCGCCATCTATTCTGAATTATTAATACAGCATTTTTAGTCATTTGAAATATTTGTTTTTGTTGGTCATAACTTTTTTTTGCTCTCCACCGCTGCTGCAAGACAATGGTCGCCATTCTTAATTCAATATATCTGAATCTGGTGTGCTCTGATAACTTATTAGCTCTCCATATCCTCTGTATGTTCACAACTGCTTTGATCAAAGATTTATATTTCGCTTGAGCCTCCTCAGCTAGCTTTTTCGCATGCCATCGCTTCTGAATTACTAAAATTGCGTTTCTCAGGTTAATATATTGTTTTTTCTCAATTCTCATTAAAACTGTTGCCTTCCATTTTCGTTGAATTATTACAGTAGCTTTTCTCAGTCTTTGATAGTTTTCTCTCTCCTTTTTCATTGCTGTATTAGCCCTAAAAACCCTTTGGATAAAAACGACTTTCTCACGTAAGTTCAAGTAAAAGTATTTAGCTTTTTTCATCTTAATATTTGCCTTGAATCTTCTCTGCATTACAATTGCTGCCAATTTCAATGTCATAAAATCTTGTCTACATTGACGCATTCTGAATTGAGCTCTGTATCGTCTTTGTATTACTATTGCAGCTTGTCTCTGTTTCAAATATTCGCTTCTTTTCAATCTCCCAACTTTCTGGGATCTGAATTTTCTTTGAACTAGTAGAACAGCTAATCGTAAACTTTTATATTCATTTCTCATTAAACGCATGGAAATTTGAGCTCTATATTTATGCTGAATTAATATAATAGCAGATCTCGTTTGTTGATACCATAAAACATGTTTCTTCATCAGTAAATTTGCCTGGTATCTGTCTTCAATGATACAAACTGCATGTTTCAGAGATACATAATGAGAGCGGCATTTTTTCATCTCTAAAATTGCTCTAAACCAGATTTGAATTTCAGTAACGGCAGATTTCACTTCCAAAAACCAATTCCTTGTAGTTCTCATCAGTATATTAGCTCTGCACTTTCTTTGAATAAATATAGTGGCACTTCTAAGAGTTTCATACCGACATATTTCATAATGCATTGCTATTTTAGCTCTATAAGCTTGTTGTATAATACAAACCGATTTTCTGAATTTTAAAAATTCGCTTCTTTCTTTAAGCATCAGTTTCCAAGCTCTGTAATATTGCTGAATTGATATAGACGCACCTCTTATCTCAAGATAACGTTCTCTTTCCATTCTCATCTTTTTTAAGGCTATGAATCTTTCTTCCAAGATCAATACACTTTGTTTGAGTGCCAAAAACTTGGAACGAAATATTTGCATTGTTTTCATTGATCTATATCTTGTCTGGATAAATATTGCCGTTGATTTTAATTTCAAATATCTGTCGTGTTGTTTTTTGCATAATTTATTAGCTCTGAACCTTCTCTGAATAGTTATAACAGTGAACTTCAACTTTTGGTAGGCCTCATAATCTTTGAGAGCTAAGCGATTTGCTCGAAATTTTCTTTGGATGAAAGTAACAGAAAATCTGAGCTTTTCATAGGCATATTTTGCCATTTTCATTTGCTTTTGAGCTCGGTACTTAGATTGTATCAGTAAAGTAGCACGTTTAATTTGAATATATTTCTTCTTTATAAGATACATGCGTACATAACTTTGAATTATCACAGCAGACTTGATGCGTTCTCTGTAAACATTTCTGACTAACCAACCACGCGATAAGCTCTGGATGTGAATAATTGTTTTGATTTGTTTCTTGTACATTTTTTCACAAAAATATTTTCTGAAACATGATTGAATTTTTATAGCAGACCGGTGTTTTTTCACAAATTCAATGTAACGTTTCAAAATTAACACAAAGTGTAGAATTTTCTGAGATAGATTGAGTCGCCTGTACCAATTTTGTATTTTACTAGCAGCATTCTCTCTCATTTTTTTAATTCTTTCCAACTTCCTTCTTTTCAATACAACAGGTAAACTCCTAAACCATTTTTGAATTGTTGTGGCACTCTTTACCATGAGTGGAGCCTCAAATTTATAAATAATTTGCCAAAGAAAGGACAGTGTTTTTTCTTTGTGACCGTCAACAATATCTTTGGGTGTTATATCATATAATATATTATATCCTGCGTTCTCCAAAGAATCAAAAACAATTTTCATGTTATGTATTTTCTGTAAACGTGATATTGCCGGTACTCTGAGTTTCTCCGATAGATCATTTCTCATCAAAATAATTTCCATGACTTTTGTTAGGCGAACGCCATCTCTCAAATCAACGCCTAAACTGTTAACTGCATAGTCAAATTCGTGAATATATGTTTGTGAGTGAGTTACAATATAGCCTGAATATTTCAAAAACTTTGTTATATCTCCAACTGCTGAAAGAGTTTCCCTGGCTAACCGCAAAAGTATTTCTTTACTCTCTTTAATTGTACTGTTTTTGCAAAAAAGACAGGGATCATGAGAAATGAGTTTCCGATTTTTTGCCTGATCTAAGAAGTAGACCAAAATGAGAAATTTTTTCAGAAAAAACTTGTTGAATTCATCTGTATACTTTGGCAGATGAATTGATTTGTATTTCTTGATGAGATAGGGATCTTTGAGAAGTCTGTTTGCTATAAAAGTGCTAAGCCCGACTATATCAGAATTTGAATTCAAAGGTATTTCTTCATTGTATATAGTTTCCAAACCTATTCTGAGCCACAAAGAATTGTAGCTGAGAAGTATTGTAATAATTTCAGACTTGAGAGATAAATTTAAGTGAACATCTTTGTCTTTACGAATATTAAGCTTGCCAGCATCCACTGCTTGCATCACTTTACATAAAACTTTACTGATTTCGCGGGACTTGAATAAAATTTGAGCTGTTTCTCTCAAATTGTTCAGTTTCTTGTTAGTATGATATTTACTAGAAATGACTTCCTTGGTTGGAGCTGAATCAACTTCTCTTTTTTTGCATTCCTGCCAAACTTTTGCCACATCAATTACACGTTCTTCAGAACTAAGTTCCTCTGGGGGTGTCAAAAGTGAATTCAACCATTTTTTGAAATCCTTTTCCTGCTGATCTATCCACTCATTGTTCACATAAAGATTAGAAGTCATGAATGGATCTACCAAGTTTGTAGCAGCTAGAATAAACGGGTTCTGTATTATAATTGAACTGGTATCTTTCTTGGTAATTTCTGCATTAATTTTCAAATTCTCCTCTTTGATTACATCTTTGAGTCTACTGAGATTCAGCCCAGAAGTTTTCTTAGCAACTCTGAATGCTGTGGAACCCTTTTTTGACCAATCCTTGGGACCAGAAGGAGTGCATATTTTTTTGCAACAGCTACTATTAAAGTCGATATCCGATTTTCGTTTCAACGTTGAATTACGAGAAAAATTCATAATACTCTCTCTCATAGTCTGCTGTACATAAGATTCCTCTTCAATACGACTCAGTTCCATTCGATCGACTCCAGTCCAAACATTAACTTCTGTTGATTTTTCAATATTGTTCGTTTCTGGTGATTTCTGATTGATATTTCTATGGCGATATGTGGGTGATATTTTCTTGCGTGGTGCCGAAGAAACTTTTGAGGTGAGCGGAGAGATACTTAAACTATGTATATCTTCTACAGAACTTTCTTTAGTGTAGGTTCCACTACTAATATTATCTTTCACATATGTTTCAAAACTAGTATTTTCTTTCACATAAGTATCACCACTTGTGTTGGATTTGATGTAAGTTTCAGTACTCACATTCAGTGTATTAGATAAAGGAAGTTCATAAGTTCTGTTTTGTGGTGATATTTCACGGACAGGTGTAATTTCCATATGGATTTTTTCTAGACCAGTGGCAAAGGTACATGTAACGTTTTCACAACTCTTTAGTGGAGTTTTTACAGGAGTGAAACAAAATTCATTGAGTTTATATTCAAAACCATAGTTAACTGATGAATTTGTTTTAACAGAACTCTCTTGAAATGATGCAGAAATGTTATCACTGTTATGAGTAACCAGTGGTATCCTCTTGCACCACATACCGAAACTTGAAACTGGTGATTTTATGGGAGATGCATTTTCTAGGCTATCATCGAACTCATCTTTTGGAGATTTCTTATTATGCAGAATAAATGTTTCTCTCTTATTTTCATTCAACACGAAGGTTCCTCTTCTTTCTTGGGGTTGAATGTATTCCATTGTGAAAGATACATTTTTAGGTGAAACAAAAATTTCACTTGCTCTTGACGAATTTTTTAAAAATGATGGCGAGTTCTCCTTGTTTTCAATCTCATATGAAATACGTGGCTGGGAATAATCGGCCATTAATAGAGGATAATGTGAATAGGTGTTCAATGGTTTTTCAACAGGAACAATTGAAAATGGATAATGTTTCAAAGGCGAGCACTTCTTTGAATATGCTGAACATTTTGCAGGAGAAATTTTTGTTGGTCTTGTTGAATAATATTTTTTTGTCGGAGATTTTTTGTTGAGTCCTTTTTGTTTCACTCCCACCTTGTTTTCTTTAGTTTTCTGAAAAAAATTAATTTATTTGAAATTAGGGTTATAAAATTTATTTTTTGAAGAGAAAACAGAAGTAATGTGAAAAATTATTGTCTTTGGCAAAAATAACTGAAGCAAATATTAAAATCCAAAACACAATTTTGTATCGTCCACAGTATTTCCACAGAAGATGCCACTGTCTATTTGACAAACAGAATAGATAATAAAAACCCATTAAGATGCCAGAAGATTCCATTGTCTATTTGACAAACAGAAACTGACGTGAAAACAGAAGTAATGTGAAAAATTATTGTCTTCGGCAAAAATAACTGAAACAAATATTAATTTATTTATCGATGGGTAACCCCAATTTGTATACACGAATTCAATACATTTTAGGAAGTAAACACTAATACTAATCTAACTTTAATTATACTAATAACCTAAAAATAGAAATATTTGAATATTTGAGCACTTATTCCTGTGATTTACAGTTGAATATTTTTCAATCTATTTCTAAGAGAACATTCAGGAATATAAAATAAGTCAAGATCAACCTTATTGCCATTAGAAACTATTCTAGAAAGTGGAGAATGTTTACCATAATTACACCTGTGGAAGTCGATTGCAAACATTTGATTGTTCCGTGTCCTTCTAGGAGGTACGTGAAGTTTAATTTCAGAAAGAAGAGTTGAACAATCAATTTTCGAACTGAACAACTTACGGAGGAATATAATATCTGCATGAATTCTACGAGTACTGAGTTTCGATATATCTGTTTTGAAACGGATATCTGAGAGTGAGTAATCGATCAGAGGCATGCTCAGTTTAAAGGCAATATATTTCAGGAATTTATTCTGAACTTTCTCTATGTTATAACTGTGAAGTTCATATTTTGGGGACCAAACACAACTGCAGTATTCCAAAATTGATCTTACCAAGGAAAAGTACAATGCCTTTATGGAGTTAACATTTGTGAAATCCTTTGTTAATATGCATATAAAGCCCAACATTTTCATCGCTCTACTAGTGATATGTTCATAATGGAGATGGAAATCCATTTTGGCATCGACTACAATACCTAGATCGCGTATAGATTTTACAGATTCCAATGGTTTACCTTCAATTGTGTATTCAGTGATGAAGTGATTACTTGATCGAGAGAAAGACATACTTTTGCATTTAGTTGCATTGACATCCATCCAGTTATCAGTACACCAATCTATGAAAGATTCAATATCAATTTGAAGTTTCTCGCAGTCCTCTTTGGATTCAATAGTCCTGAATATTTTAAGTCATCAGCAAACATCAAAATTTCAGAATGATTGATATATTTTTTAATGTTATTAACAAAAAGATTGAACAAATATGGTCCCAGGTGGCTTCCTTGTGGTACCCCCGAGCTAACAGAGATTTCTCTCTCGAGATACAATTCCCTTGATTTTCACGAATTGTGTTCTGTTACAAAGGTAACTTGAGATCCAACTTAACAAACTTGCCGTTTGTTTTCCAGAGAATTCAAAATATGCTGAGAATATAATAGCAAATTGGTGTTTGTTGATTTGCCTTGAGAAAACCCATGCTGCTCATCAATGACTATTTGCTTAAAGAGAAACTTTAAGCTGTCGCATATAATGTGTTCCGGTAGTTTGGGTATTGCACTCAGTATGCTTATAGGTCTGTAATTTTTTATGTTTGCTCTGTCTCCGGACTTGAAAATTGGTGTAATGTAACTAGATTTCCATACAATGGGAAAATCTCCTAAACTAACTATGTTGTGAAAGTTTGTGGACGTGAACCATATTTATTGTTTTTGTATTGTTCAACTTCTGTAGTTTTATTTTTGTTTTTTATTTATGACTTAGCACATGTACTCAATGTACCAAAGTGTCAAATAAATAAATAAATAAATAAAGTAACAACAGCGGTTTAGCCAATGCAAATCTACAATTTTTCAACAATAATGCTGGTATTCCATCCGGTCCTGGTCCTTTATCTGGATTCAATTGAGATAATTTATTCAAGATAATTTCCAAATTGATTGAGCAACTATTCATTTCTATAGTTTTCTCGTAATCAAAGGTTGGTATTATATGGTTGTTTGTATTAGGTTTATAAATTGATTGGAACTGCTGTGCAAATAAATGCATTTGAAATTTCATTACCGTTTTTGAAAATCGAATCGCCACTGTACATTGTGTCAGGCAAGCCATCATTTTTCCGTTTATTGTTCACATAGTTCCAGAAGTGTTTTATATTTGATGTTATGTTATTTTTCACTCTTTTAATATAGTTCTCATTACTAATTCTACTTGCTAGTTTGCACCGAGCTCTTAGATCAGAAAAAATTAAGTAGTCATCCCAATTATTACTTTCTTTGTAAGCCTTATGGGCTTTTTTCTTTTCAATAATCAATTTTTTCAGATCTTTGTCGAACCATCGGGGAAATTTTGGCTTAGTATGTCTAACATATGGAACAAAGTTTTGAACACCTGAGTAAAGGATATTATAAAAAGTATTTGTTGCTAGGTTAATGTCAGTTAAGCTACCAATATGATAGTCCCAATCAATACTAGTCAAATAATAATTCAGATCATAATAATTGGCATTCCTGAAGTTGAAAAAGAAATTTTCGTAATGTAATTCATTGTAATCATTTGAATTTGATATCGTAATTGTTAAGGCTGGATGGTGGGCATCACATGGCAGCAAACTGTCACTAGATACATTTACTATGCAATTATCCTTTTCGTTTGTGAATATTAGGTCCAACATAACACCATAGCAATTATTGATATTATTCAATTAAAATCCAAAAGACAATTTTGTATCGTCCACAGTATTTCCACAGAAGATGCCATTGTCTATTTGACAAACAGTATAGATAATAAAGACCCACTGACGTTATCTCTCTTGATCTAGCAAAACCATTTGACATAGTCAAGTCAGTTACTTTTGAAAAAACCAGAAAATATAAGTTTTAAAGGAATAATCCAAAAATTACTATATTGGGTCGTCTTTAACCTTGTGATTTTAGTAAAAACTGTGCAAAATATTTGACTTTTACTCAAAGTCATAAACAAAACTTTTCAAAACTATCAATAAGAAAAAATGTCCTTTAAATGAAAAAATTAACATTTGAATAGCTAAAAATCTACATTTCTTCCTTCATGACGAAACGTTTTCACCCTCACTCATCTCGATTCTGGCTAACTTGGTCACCGGATGTTTGAAAATTCCAATGTTTCGTTCCACCACTCGAATCCATTCGTCCATATCAGGATATCTTTTCAATTTTTCCAAGTTTCCACTTGTTCCTACGTAGGTTTTCTTCTACAATAAAAACTATATCATCGATTCATATTGGTGTCCCATCATCGCACATCCCTCGTTTGGTTAATCTAGCCAAGTCTTGTTAATCCACCTATTCCAATATTCATTAGCAATTTGTTGAACTTCCTCAATTGCGACCTCAGATTATTTCCTTCGAATTTGTCTATAGTCGCCTCCAAGTCGCCTGGATCTACTGAAACTATGAAATTGGTCATGCATTGATGATTGCTTCAGAAGAAAAAGGGTCAGCATAAGTTCATCCTCCAGAATTGTGTAGAAGCAGTTCTTCACAGCAATTCACCAATTAGTGCTTTCATACTCCTTCCATGTGATTCACAGCTGGTGGAATGGACCTTCAATCAAAATGCGAGGAGCATCTTCAGATGCTCCTCGCAAAGGAACAAATCTTTCTGTTATCTGATTTCCGTAATCCCTTTCTAGAAATCATTCGATTCAAAGCCATCATTGCAGAATCCGTCGTCAGAGAATGTGCAATTTCTAAGTGAATAACTTGGGCAGAAAAAAAAAACTAATCAATAAACTATATACTATTATAGTGAAAATCATACAATAAACTGTATTGATTAGTTTTTTAATATGGATTTTCATCAAGTATCGGCCAGTTCTATTCAATTATGGGCAGAAAAACATTTGAATATTATATCTCATCACTTTTCACTTCTTCCAACCATCGCTGGAATTAGATAAGAATAGCTAAAATATCAATTATATTAGGCAATAGAACTTGAAATGAAAAAACGATTTGGCTAGGAGAGGACTAGAGAGGACAGCACAAATGGGTCTAGCCTCACCAAGTGTAGTTGGTCGACATAATATGTGAGCACATTGATAAGGTCCTTCTCTTCTATACCAAGAGAATTGAGAATATTCATAGTATCCTGTATGTCATTTGCTATATGTGTATTGAGGTTATTTGAGGGGGATTCTTTCACATTGTAGATCATCACATTACTGGCTCTCATTGATCACTCATGGACTTCGTTTAAAATTTCATTGTTTGTTCCGGGATCAGATTTGAGCAGCTTCAGTGATTCCATCTCTGCTTTTAGAGTGTTACCTCATTTTCGAGGGATGTAATTTTTATAAGAAGTTTTGGTACTTGAGTGACTACAGTCATCACAGAAAAATAGAACAGCGCGTTGTTTTTGCAACATCACAGCTCATATTTCAGTACTTGTCATTATGTTGCATGTTTTAGTGTTGTGAAAAGCTGCTTTACAGCTGTCACAGTATACAAAGTCTTCAGATTCTTTCACCTCCAGAGAGCATTTGGTACATGGGGAAGCCATATTTTTCAATTTGATTTTCTTTGAATGTGACAAATTTTTCTGGACTATGACAACGGCTTTGGTGTTTTTACTGATCCTTACTATTACTTTCTTTCACTATCACTTTCTTACTGTATTTTTTATATGGAAGTTGATTCACTTTGTGTCACTTTAGGTACAAAATGCACACTTATTTATGATGGGATCACGTGTTATGAGATGACTGAATGCAATCCAACTCAGTTTAATACGAAATATGACATTTGAATATTTCAACTCAGAAAATTAGCAACTGCTGAAGAGTGATAGCTTGTTGTTACTGTCTACACACAGAGGTTAGCGAAATGTGAACAAGTGTTTCCAAATATTGATAGCTCACTGTTCCAACTCAATTGGTGTTAATATTGAAATTATAATTCCTTATTTGTAAAAATAACAGTTCATTTCATTGTAATTCATCTTTTCTTTTGACACATTGAGTTACTATCAGTTGAATCAGCATTTGGGCAATTTTCTGTATACTAGCGAAACTGGCAATCAGAACCTCAGTGACGCTGCTCAAAATTAACCTAGGATTCAATTCAAATTTGATAGAAGCATTTAAAATTGATATTGGAGCAACACCGCAAAGTTACATGCTCTAGCATATTATTCGAATTTCATAATTGATATATGAAAATTTTATCTATGTTAATGCACACTAGTGATCATTTAGCTCAGATTGATTAGCCAACAAAGACAACCTTCTGTATTCACATGACTAAGCATGTACTTCAGCTAGATGTTATGATCTTGAGATAATACCATTATTAGGTCTGACCTTATCGAAACAAATATAGCGTCACCCCAGGGGATCATGTCTATCACCGACACTATTTAATATATTCAACACAGACCTTTTCAGTAATTTGTAAAGAACGAGTTATCCAATTATACAGGAAAATCTTAATAAGAACTACAAAATAAATCTATTGAGTCCACTAGATTATGTTCCAATGATGTGCTGAAAATAGTAATGTTGATAAATCACTGGCACTTCAATTATTTACAAAAAATGTTACAGTAAATGATAGCTTATTACTCTGAATTGAAGGAAAATCTTTAGAAAATTTGTCAATTACAAAATTTTTAGGAATCTGTTTACATCATAAACTGATGTGGAATAGACATCCAAACTAAGTTTGTACTGTTTTGTTATAAAAAACCTCCGCAAAACGATATCAGGGGAAGCCCTGAAATTATTATATTTTGGACTTGTACAAATTAATCTCACATAACGCCTTATATTCTGGGGTCAAACACACAACTTTGGTAAACTCTTCACCACACAAAAAAAAATTATTAGCTGTATGACTGATATATCAAAAGTAACTTCATGTAGGAACCAATTTGCCAATCTTGGTATAATGACATTACCTGGTCTATATTTTATTTTTGCAATTGTACATATAAATAAAAATGATCATCTAACAGCAAAAAAGGAAATCTACTAATATAACAATCGGTATAAAGACAGCATCAATAAACTCATCTCAACACTGTCAATAGGTCAACAAAATTCATGTTATGTTGGAATGAGATTCTATTACAAAATATGTGAGTTGGAAGAGTTGAAGGATGTGAAAAAAAAAATAAATAAAAAAATTGAAAATGTTGATTCAAAAAAGCTACTACTCAATACAAGAGTATCTTGATGAAAAATTTATGGCATCCAACATATTAGAATTTCAATTATTTCATTATATTTTATTTTGTTTAAAGTATATGTTTGAATATTGAATGGTTTTAACATATATCTGATATGCATCCAATATCGAATGCTGGTAACAGGTATCCAATGTTGAAATATTATTATAAGTATTGATTTAAAATTGTGAAAATTTGTGATACTGGCGCTTTCCATGTATATTTGTGTTGTATCATAACATTCAGAGCAAAAAACAATATCAATCTATCTATAGTAGTCTATGAAAATTATCTGACAAATGAAAAAACAAAACAAAATAATATTAACAATTGTCACTCACATTTTGTGGAATTGATGTGAACGCAATATATACATCCTTTTGTATTTTACCGAAATCTTTAAAAGTGATTGTATGCCTAACTGATTCCTTTTTCATAGGTTTCCATCTTATTTCAAATATTTCTTCCGAATACCTTCCAATAATTTTTTCAATCCAATTGTAGGAAACATTAATTTCTTCAGGCAACGGTCTTGAGAGAAAAAGCTGCAAAATATGATTACACAATTAAAAGTTCAAACAAAAAACTTCAATTTTATAGAATACTCTCGGGTCTTGTTAGTTTTCAATATTACTATAGTACGATAAGAAAGCTACTTACAGTTATATCATGGTCAGTTGGATTTTTAATTAACAACTGTCGTGCTGCTGTATCACCAATCCTGATATTATCAAAAAAAAGTTTAGGAGTTGGCGTAAAAGGCGCTAATAATAAATTTTCTATTTTCTCAGATTCATTTTCTTTAACAACAGGTATAGGATTTTTCTCCCTTCTCACTGGTGAAAACTAGAAAAAAAGGTATGAAAGGTTTTAATATATTTACAAATAAATAATAAAAGTTCATAAAGGTTTTTATATACAGGTGTATTTTTTCAATTACTAATAATTTCTTTAATTTTGAACCATTCTATCTCATCTTGTTTTTCCATATTTTCTTCTATAAAGCCCATAAGGCAATTGGGACAAAGTCCATTTGTTTATTGTGTTACAAAAGTATGAAAAAGGTATTTTTTGACTCAATAACAGTAATTATTGCATCTACAAGGCTTCATTGTAACATAGAAAAAATATATCATCTGTGACGAATTTTGTGAAGAAAATTGTGTTAAAAAAACATTAAAATGTAAGTGTATCGATTAACATGATTAACATTGCATTTTTCCTTCCTGATTTTCTGTTGAACTATTTGATTATATTCTGTTGTTTTTAATAATGTATCTAGTATCTTAGAATGTGCATCTGTTTTTATATATCCAAAAAACCGTAGGTTCGGTGACCTATATGTTGGCGTCTAAATGAGGAATATCGCTTGTATTGTTTTGAATTGTGTTTGTATTATTTGATAGGTATATATTCATTCATATTTATATATTCATTTATTTATTTGTTTTATATATATTTGACATGTCTAATATCATTATGATCTGAAAGATGAATAAATATCACTACTACTACATTCTGGAATCAATCCTAAATTCTCGAGAATTTCTTTGAGCATTTCATATAGTATATTAGGGTTCATATGGTGTTACTAATATTCACGCTTGTATCATCGATTTTTACTCCGCCGTGGTCCACCTGTTTTTGAAAAACCAGAAAGGTATATTTTTGGGGTTCATTCAAAAGGCCCTAATTCTAAAAAATAATTCTGTATTCGGAGTCTGTCTAGTGATGTGTGTACGATTTCTTGCTTTTTGATTGGAAACTGGTTGGATTTTTGTATAGACGAATGACTTTAATGCAAAAATAATCTCGGAGTTTAGAGTAGCGATTTCCATGTTGGTAGATGCTAACGGGTTGCTGTTGTAAAACAGAAAATATCTTTTGATTAATAGCATACTATGTTTCGGGAAAATATCTAGGGATTTACCAAATTTATCACAACATTTTATTAAAACTTTAGCACCTTTTTGTTCAAAAGAATAGTTCAAAAGTTCATAAGAATTTTTTCTCAGAACGGACCCAAAAATAATCTTAAATATTAGCATGTCATTAAGCAACACCCTGTATATATTACTGATGATAACAATAATTTTTTCCCATTAATACATTGAACAAAAAGCAAAGTTTTGCAATACTGAGAGTGTATCATATCAAGAACAAATGACGAATTTTATTTGTTCGGACTTCCATTGTCTAATATTATATAAAATAATTTGAAATCCCTGGAAGAATCAATAAAATAAAAATTAACAGCTGAAAATAAAAATTTTATTAGGCAAAAAACAATTGAAAATTGAACATTAAAAAAAATAAAAATTCTTCACGACGTTTTGATTGTCAGTATCCACAATCAACTTCGGGTGATGACTGGCAAATGACGATTTTTGAAACTACTGAGAAACTACTTCAAAATAATGAAACCCAATATAAACCTTTATTTACAAACAATTGCCCATGATGGTTTTAGTAATACATCACTCAAGTAACATTCTAGTAATCTTCATTTATTATATATTTGAGATGATATAACAATCTTTTTCCAATGACTACTGAAAAAAGTGTCAATTATGTGACTTTCTTGTTGGGTAAACAGGCAAAATGATCCATAATTCACATCTTCAAACAAATCACAGTTGACCAAATTCTTAACTCACTACCTTAAAAGACAATCACATATGAGCAAATTAGTAACTTTACAGTTGTGTTTATTTTCAATAGCAAGTAAGCCTTGAGAATTTACCTCTTTGAAATATGTTGTCAAACATCAAATTTGTTTTGAAATTTCTAACAAAAAACATTAATAAAAACATGGATTTGGAAAGTGAGAACGAGTGTAGTCTGAGCTTGGGTGCTAATGGTACTGAGTTTAAGTTACATCCACAAAAGGTGTATTTTAATAATAATACAATAAGGGACTTTATTCGATTTGTAATACATATACTTGATATTCAAAAGTGATAAACATAATAAATCGATAAAAAAAGGTAAAGTTCAGCAAGCTGTTTCATACCTCAACCTTAATCTCAATATTCAAACTATTTCAAATTGAATTAAATAAAATGGGATTATTCTCATTCTCATCTAATTTTATAATATTCATGTTATAAATCATAGAATAAGTATAGTATTTTACTCACGAGAAATGGACATTACTTGCTGGAAAGTGTATGATACAAGTCAAAGGGGAACGTCAAAAAACTTCATTCTCATGAGTAATGGCCACATTTCTTACATACACACATCGGAAAAGTCTAGGGATATTTTTTAAAATGGCAATAATTTTTTTTAGATCGCTTTAGGGAAAAAAAAGTTGATTATTAAACGAATGTAACTTACAACAAAATTTATTAAATGGTCAAAAATACTGAGTGCGCATATAAGCAAAACTAAAAAAAATATGGCTCTTCTTTGGCACCCCGAAAAAAAATCATAATACAAAAAAAATTGGAATCAGTACAAAGTATGGCCTCCACGCTGGTTTATTACGGCCATCTATCGTGCATCGACAAAATGAGATTGTCAATGTCTTGTTGAGGTACATTTGCCCATTCAGCGATTAAAAGCTCTCTCAATTGAAACGTTGGTTGAATGTTCCCCATATGCGGAGTAATTCTTCGTTGAAGCATGTCCCACACATGCTCGATGGGATTCAGGTCCGGTGATTGTGCTGGCCATGGCAATACATCAACTCCTTCGTTGGTGAGCCAGTCAAGTCACTAGACTCGCGACATGTGGACGAGCATTATCGTGCATTAGGTGGAAGTTTTCACCAACAGCACCAGCAAACGGACGGACGATAGGTAGAAGAACGGTGTTGAGGTACTGTCGAGCTGTGAGGGAGCGATTTGGAAAAACGAGATCGGTTCTGCCACCGATCATGATTCCGCCCCATAGCATTACTGTACCACCTCTGTATGTGTGGACTTCCTGGACGTGTCTCAAACGTTCATTATTTCCAGGTCGTCTCCAGGTCGTCTCGTCTTACTCGACGAGAATCTGGATGAAATCCAAATCTGGATTCGTCTGTAAACAAAACTGAGGCCCAATCATTTGCATCCCAGTTTTGATGTTCTTGACACCACTCTAATCTTCTACCGCGATTGCCTCTCGACAAAGGTGGACATCTAAGTGGCCTTCTGTTGTGGAGATCTGCTTCATGCAGTCGATTTCTGACAGTATCACGACCAATGGTTACCTGGTGCGTCTGCTGCAACACGTTAACCAACTCAGGTGCTGTGATTGTCGGTTGTCTTCTTGCGGTTAAGACCAAAAATCGGTCTTGAACTGCAGTTGTAGCGCGTCCTCGCCCTGGATGTTGTTCGGCTGGACTGCCAGTTTCACAGAAACGCCGCCACAATCGACTGATAACACTTTGGAAGACCTTGAAGAAGCCCTACAGCTCTATTCATCTCAGCCAATGGTAAGTGATGGCGTTCCATGTTAAAGCACAATATTTCCAGTTTAATTGCTGAGCAAGAACTGCATAGAATGTACAAACTCGACACTTTCAGATTATTCATTTTAGCCGAAAACCTACAGTTTGTAAAAAACTTGATAAAAGATTAGTTACCGTTTTTGCAGGCTTTGTTCAACCCATAGAAATCTACAGGGTGGTCGAGTGTACCATTTATTTTTATGATATTTAGTATGTTATAAAAATATCCCTAGACTTTTCCGATGTGTGTATATTACAACATGCAAATAAATAAAATATGTATTGTGATAGGAAACATAACATTCAACAAGTACTTTTAATTACAAATATTGACATGTTCCATTCTCATCTAAAATATTGGTCACATAAAATATATCTAAGTAAACTCAGATTGTGGATAAAATAAAACATGATAAAAGAATTGGGATGAAAACAGATATCAATATAATCTGCATATTTATTATTACTTACCTGAAAAAACATTGTGAGTTACGAAAAGTGAGATCATAAGAATATTCACTTTGCTGACTAGTAGGTGTTATTCTCCTTTACAGCGCCTGTGGTATACCTATATATTTAATGGTGCTGCATCCTCATTCCTCAATACGTAGCAATCTACTGCGATATCTTTATCATTTATTACTTAATGTTTTATAAATTCACTTTCATTTTTTCATGCTCTTGTTAGTAGTATGTGTATCTTCAACTATGCTGCTTGAATATTTCTATGCTAAAACGATATCTGAATTTTAGATAAATATAAGGAATATTCAGAAAAATAATAAGAAAAACAAGGTGATTTGAAATACCCTATCTATGATTTTATTTAGCATTTGATCAGTTGTAACATTTTCATAATGGACATTAACAATTTTCAAAATACTAAACAGTAGCATATAATCCTTTCATACTTTGGAGTTTGGCTATTCAACTTGTTTATAATGACTGAACTGATGTACTGAATATCTCATTAGATGAACTCAAATTCTGAACCAAAACATCCTTAAAAATTGAAATTGAGTCATAAAAACAACAAGAAATTAATGTTTATACCATAAGGCATTCTGCTTTATTAAGCATAAAATTTCATAATACCAACTACAGTTGTCCAGTCGTATCTTTCATATTTTCAACAAAAATGGAATCTATCTTTTCTGCTGGTTACTGGCCTTTTTTTGACTGTAACTGAATTGAATTGTAATTTGTTCAAAATGAAACTGTTTTTATTCGGTACTTGATCTCATGCAAAGTACGTATTCAGACTAAATAACCTTAATTTTTCACACTACCATTTATATATTCAAAATTTATTTTTATAATTTGATACTTTACTTGTTATCTATTTTGTAAATCATTTAAAATTTTTAATTTATTGCTGCTTTTATATAGTTCACTCTATTTGCACACTAATTTGTAAACTGTCTATGACTATCAATCTATCATATTCATTGTGAAATACTGTTGTTGATCTAATAAAAATGTAATTTTTTATTATCTACATATTACTATGTCCATGTGCAGTCATTGATTCCATATGATAAGTTTGGAGTTCCTCAGTATAGTCACAAAGAATATTCATTAATCATAACTGAATTTTAAGATATATCCTAAATCTAGATCAAGAAACCTCTTGTTAACAATTATAAACTAATTTTGACTGTACTCTCACTGTATCTGATTGTCTGTCCAAATTGAATATTACTGGAGTTTTTTCCCAACACCAAATCGTTATTTTTAACACATCGACAAGTGTTTTGATCACCAAGTGATCATCTTCAAAGAGGAAGATTAAAACTACTATTCATTCAACTGCTGGTTAAGATGAAAATGGTTATATATCAACTATATTATCATGAATACTTCTGAAATCTTTTTTAACTTTATATACTATCAATGGATGTAACATAAGTATATTTTAACAAATGTATTCAAAACTTTACTCATTGTTAAAAAAAATTCTACTTTCACTTAGGTAGTAATATCAGTAAGAATAAATATTGAACTTTTCAAACAATAATTGTTGCCGAGTCCATTGATGATTTCATTGTAAAAATATTACTTTTTTGTATTTTTTCTATATCAAAGCTGAAGTTTTGATATCATTTTGTAGTTATAATTTGTTACCATGACTCATATTTACATTACTTCTTATTATAAATGGTGATACCTTTAATAAATAAATGGTCATAGGCAAAACTATTCTACTGTTCAATTGACAAGTCTTAGATAAATAAATCTAGGGAATAAGGCGACCTTAGCAGTACACGGGCCCCTATACATTATAATAATAATAAATTAGTTTGCACATCAACAGAGTGATAATGCAAATAAAAAAGAGAAAAACGTCAATAAATTCAAGTAGAGAAATGATATAAGATAATGTATATACATATGAAATGAATAGAATGATTAATAAATATCTCTGGATGTGTATAGGATATCCATGTCACAAAATATAAAATATATTAAAGTTACTAATTCTACGTGTATATAAATAAAAAAAGGTGTATATTAAATACACTTCACATGAAAATAAAGTTACTGCTGAAACTCCTCAACAATGTAGCAGTTTTTTGACAATAAGAGTTGCTTAACTTTTCTCTTGAAAATATGAACATTTCCTGAAACTTTAATGTCATCGGGAAGTTTGTTATACAGTTTGCACCCCTGATATTCAAAACTTTTTTGGTATAGAGCAGTTCGATGTTGACTTGGTACATTAGAAGGTGTGGCAGAGGCTGTCTCATATTTAAATAATGGACAAAAATATCTCCCTAGCATGCTGCCTTGGGCAGTTGTTCCACTCGCCATCTCTAAACTCCCTATCTGATAGATCTCAAAAACTAATTTTGGCCTAATTAAAACATGTGAATGAGCCTACATAATTATTCTAAATCATTCGAAATTACATTCATGGTTACTCTACATAATCGAAATTTTTCAACTTTTACCAAGTATTTTGTTGCGTTATATCATTCATATCCATCAAAAAATGTTGATTTAATTGTGACCTTATACTTTCAACTTCTACATAGTGTTTAAATCTTGATTCGTATTGAAATAATACCAAAATAGTTTTTTGTAAAGCCTAACAATTGCCTTTATAGGATGGATTCTAAATATTTTATACTGATAAAAGAATACTGAACAAAAAACAGTAATAAATTGGCTTTCTACTTTATTACCATTATTATTGTGTAAATTATCCTTCCGAAATCTGGATTATCACTCGAAGTCACGAAGTTAAGCTTGAAATGGCTTATTTACAATTTATTTGAAAGTTAACTGAAACTGTCAATGGTATACCATTAAATGAAAAACGGAATTTGTAGATAAATTGAATATTTACTTTACCAACCGAGACAATGACAAGGTGGGGAAAAATCCACAGAACTATAACTTATAACTTAGAGGTTATAGTTCTGTGGGAAAATCTCAAAGTGAGCTACCCTTTCCTTGTCTAAGGAGATACCTACCAAACCAACCGAGACAATGAGAAGAAGAAGATCAGAAAGTAAAAGTATTGTATTAGTGCGTTCCACTAAATGATCACACCTAAGACCGCAGTTTTTTCCGCTTGCGAGCGTTACTGTCGTAACTGGATTATGGAGCGTTTTGAGCTTTCATGTGAACATTACAAATGGCAAGGTTGATTTTTCTTGATGCATCGCGATAGTGCTACAGAAACTAGTTCATATCTTTCAGATGAAGGATCAAATGAAACTTTACAAAATTATAAGCGTGAAAACCAAAAACTTTGGCACGTATTGTTGATTGTGAGAATGTAATTAATCGTTATTCAGATGAAGAATTCAAGAGTCATTTCTGTAGTGTTTTTGTATAATAATCTTTAATGTTTTAAATAAGACGCATACACTTCAATTACATTTTATTGAATGGCTCGAGAATCGACTTCGGACCCCAAAAACCTGTCCAACATAAGAAAAAATAATAAAACAAAATAACATTCAGTTTTTATACATAGCTAACCAGTGGCAGGTGGTATTCTAATTTACCACAATTTCAAATACATCATGTCTACTTGCACACCTAGATTATACTAAAAAATGTATGCTACTCTGAATTTCTTGTCGCCATCTTTAAACTTTTGTCATATTTCAGATATAATTTCAAAAATTGGCACAGAATATCACAAATACAGACATTCTGTGCCATGAGCGAAAGTAATGACGTCATAAGTGACGTTTTCGCCGCGACCACAATGACACAGTATTTCTGTATACAGAAATACTGTGACAATGACTGCGATCGTTATGTCGAACGGCTAAAGGAGCAATTTGATCGTTGTGAGCGCTTAGTGGAACGCACTATATTGGTCTGGATCTGGAACCGTGGTCGTCAAATTGCGGCCCGCGGCCGATATTTCTGCGGCCCGCCACGAAGTAAATAATTTCAATAGTCAACTACATTTCATAACAAAATCAAAACAGATTTTGCGTTCGCTCGCCACGCCGATTTACCACACTTGAGTCGAGTGTCAAGAAAGAAGAGCCGTGAGCCATTTCATTTGTTTCAACGCACAAGACTGAACGTTTCTTGCATTACGAGTGTAATGGCGGGTGTATCATCTAAATGTGCTACTAAAAGGAAGATAACTGATGAGAATAGGAGTTTTCAAGAAAAATAGGAGGAAGAGTTTTGTTTTATAAGTGGATATAAGGAAGGTACTGCGATATGTTTATTATGCCAGGAAACTGTGGTCGGAATTAAGCGATACAATTTATTTCGGCACTACACAAGTAAGCATAGTTCATTTACTGAAACCTACTCTTTAAATACGATTCAAAGAAAGAATAAAATAATTCATTTGTAATCGTCAATTCATTGTCAACAAAATATAATGACCACAGCAGTCGGGCAAAATGAGGCTATTATTACAAAAGCATCGTACCAACTATGTAACATTCTTGCAAAACGCATGAAACCCTTTACTGATTGACTGAATTGATAAAAGAGTGTATGATAACTGTTTCTCAAACGTTGTTTCAAAATTTTTCAAATAGTAAACAAATAATGGCAGAAGTAAAAAAGCTTACGCTCTCTGAATCCGCCGCCGTGTTGAAGATATTTCGAAAATTTTGTTTGAGACAGCAATTGACAAACTGAAAATCTGCAAATACTTATAACTTCTATGTCTCAGTGCTCATTATTTGTTCGGTACTGCACAATGGACGGAATCATAGAAAAAGACTTCTTAGCAGTAATTACCATGAAGGGGCATACGAGAGGTTGTGATTTTATGGAAGTTCTAAAAGAATTTGTGGAAAAACATAGAATACCTGTAAAAAAGTTGATATCAGTGTGTACTGATGGTTGTCCATCAATGGTGGGTGCAACTAATGGTTTGATTGCTTTAATGAAGGAGGAATGGAATTTACCTGATTTGTTGCCCATTCATTGCTTGCTGCATCAAGAAACTTTGTCATGTAAAATTTCGAATAACAAATTGAAAGATGTTATGAATACGATTGTGAGCATTATACATTTTATTCGTGCGCGCGAACTTAATCATCGAAAATTCAAAGATCTTGAAGAATTACAAGCTAATTATGGCGATGTTATCTTGCATACGGCCATCAGATGGTTAAGCAAAGGAAAAGTATTAGAACGGTTCTTTCATTTGAAACACGAAATAATACTTTTTTTTCAACAAAGTGGCAAAGAATTCCCTCAACTACAGCAAAATGAATGGTGGGCACTTGCGGCTTTTTTGACCGATATTACCATGAAATTCAATAATCTAAATTTAGAGATGCAAGGACCTAATAAGATAATTGGGCAAATGACAAATAAAGTGTTCGCATTTAAGGACATACTGCAGTTATACATAAATGAGCTCGAAGCAGGAGATTTTTCAAATTTTCCAACTGTTGCTGCTCTGCAATCTAAAGTGTTTATTCCAGACAGTACTATCTCTCAAGATATGATATCCTATTCGAAAGAATATCTGTTAGAAATTCAAAATAGATTAGACGATGTGAGAAAAATCAAGAACTGTTTTATACTCGTGGAAAACCCTTGGCATGTTGAAAACGAAGATATGGAATTATTCTGCCAGTTTGGATTTTCTAAAACACAGTTGATGAATGAAATCATTGAACTAAAGCACGACACGCAGCTGAAAGATAATTTCGTTAAACACCGTGAATACCAGGAGTATATTGAGTTTTTGAAAAATGCCCTATAAATCTTCACAAGACTGTGCACAATTCGTTTTAACTATATTTTCTTCAACATATCTCTGTGAAGCTTCATTTTCGAAAATGAGCTTTTTGAAAAACAAATACGCAATCGTCTTCCCACTCATTTAGAATACACAATGAGGATTTCATGTAATCCAAAAGATGCCGATAATGAGATATTTATAATTATAGTGTTGATTGTTTTTTACTTACCTATGTTTAAAAATTATCTTTTTCCAATAAATATTTCAATGAACAATATTTTTGACTAGTTTTTTCGATATCACTCCCACGCGAACGACATCGTGGACACAGCTAGTGCAAAATAAATAACGATATGAACTTCACATTAGGTCGCGGGGCTGCCGCGCAACTTTTATACTAAAACAGCTACGCGACCTAATGTAGAGGTATCACATACTCTGCGGCCCGGTGCCGACACCCACATCGTTCTGTGTGGCCCTTGGAAAGAAAAGTGTGACGGCCGTTGGTCTGGAATATATAATGGTGAAATCTTTGTATATAGACCATTCGTCAGAAAAACCCAAACAATGTTCAAGGTCAAATCGACAAGGCAATCGATTTCTTACTCTATTGGTGGAATATACGGTTTCTCTTTTGATCGCAGATTAATGAGTGGGTTGCCAGAGTTGCCAACCGTAGCGGAATTCCGCTACTGTAGCACAATTTACTCGACAGTATCGGCGTAGCGGATTTGAACATAAAATAGCGAAATTTTCTATAATCAATATTGAAAAAATTCTTCTCGATTCAATGGCGTAGCGGATTATGAAGCAGTGTAGCGGAATTTTGATTCATGTGTAGCGACTTTATACTTCTACTAGTTGAGGCTGACATGAATGATTGATCTCTACAATACAATACAGATTCAAAGAATCTGAGCCATACGAACATTCGCAAAACTAAATATACATAGAACTGCCAGTGATTCAAGGAAATAAAGCTTCAGAACGAGTGAGTTGTCATTTGGATCTCTGCGATTGATATGTATAAATACCTGTGAATAATCGTAGTATGAACTCAAGAATACAGGATTTGAAAATCGTTCGCATAAATGATTCGCGGGTGATTTAAAATAGGGCTCTAGAGATAATCTTACTTCGTTATGAGAGTATTTCGACGAAGAAATTTGCAGACAAACAAACAATTTTTGATGTCAAAAATCTATAGTCGCAAGTCAAACCGATTGCTGGCGTGGCGACGGGTCACCATGCGCAAGCGACTGTGCGATTATTTTCTCACTGGTTCGGCGTTACGCTATCTCTCTCGTCACACTGATCTCGGATGTCTATAGGTAGTGTATATGTGTTTACTATGGTATACATAACCTGTGTTTAATTAAATTTTTTTTTTTGACAGTTCACATATAGTAAGCGGGCATACTCGAAGACTTATTATCTGAAAGAAAAAATCCTTCAGGCCAGTCTCAACACACCTACACTGTAGATTAATGGACTGACACCTATCAGAAAACAACTATTCCCCTGGCTAATACCACGAAGGGCGTTGGATTATATCCGACAGGTGTCAGTGCAGAATTCTTCACAGAAATAATTCCTCCAAATGCTGTTGGTGATACCACTGTCGGAATCGATTTTCGATTATTGGAACGGACACACTAGCAGTATGTAGTAACTGTATGTGAAGTAGTAACTGTATGTAACTAACCGCATATCCGAATCTCCGCGATTCGGATATGCGGATAGTTACCTCGTTTACGGGCAGATTGGGCAATGACGAATATGTTGTTTCTCGTTCGCTTCAGCCTCGTTAAAGGAATGATACTCTGAATGGAATTCGATTTTTAATTATGTGAAATCATCAACTTCATGTTGATGATGGACACTATCTTGCACTGACAAGAGGCCAAATAGCCCAAAATCGGTCTGCTATTGTGTCCGTTCCAATAATTGAAAATCGATTCCCGCAGTGGTATCACCAACAGCATATGCAGGAGTTACTTCTGTGACGAATACTGCATTGACACCTGTCGGATATAATACCTTCGTGGTTAGCCAAGGCAGTAGTAGCCCAAACAGCCCGAAATCGGTATGCTATATAATTGAGTTTCCGACCTTTGTTTATATAGTGCAAAATTTCCGTATCGTTTAGATTTGGGAACTTGTGATTGCATTCCAAGGAATGGTTTGAAAACGTCGAAACATGTTCAGCATACCGTCTCGAGTAATTTTGGCCACATTGCCCCACATAAACACTATTACACTTAAGCTTGTAAACTCCGGATTTCTCCATATTGTCTACTTTATCTTTGGCATTAAAAAGGTTATCTAATTTCCTTTTTAATACCAAAGATAAAATGGAGGGGATTGAGAAATTTTGAGTTTACAGGCATTTCCTGAATCTTGAACACGTATACCTAATAACAAACCTCAGAAATAGCAGTAAATCATAAAAAGTGAAAATATGATGTTATTCCACACTGGACTGATGATCATACTACATAACTTTTTTTCTGAAGAATTTCTTTTAACCTTCCAATCATATCAATCTCACAAAACAATTCTTTATGGCACTTGCATATCAACACCTCAAATTTCCTGAAATCATAAGAACAAAACAGCCGACATCTGAAACTCACGGTGATTGTTATTCAAGTTTAATTGAAATTATTTCCATAGTTTGATGAAAACTTTAACTGAATGCCGAGTATTTTATGAAATGAGGTGTAAAATTAAAGCCTTTATCTTTACTTCATTTCAATATCATCAATCAAATATTTCAACTTAATTACTAAAGTGGTTGGTGAGGTTACATCAGCCACCAACACTTCCTGCCCATCTTTAAGACCTAACTCAATGAGAGTTTTATTTAAATTGTCTCTGGTACGCTCTTCTATGCTTTTAATTGTGGCCATATACAGCGTTTTATTCTTTCCATCTATTATAGTGGTTAAACCTGGATTTCTCATTTGATAAGATCTACTTTCAGAAAGTAATTCAAGTAACTGTTTCAATTTTAATTTATGAGGATCTTTCACTTCTAAAATTCCTGGAGTTTGAGAACAGACTAAACAATCATCCTTTTTCTCTGCTTCGTAGGTGTATGTATAAATACCATCAACATCATTGAAAACCATGTAGTTATTCATAGGAACACAACAGTTAGTGGCAAGTTTGAAAACCTAAAAAGATTGAAATGAAAAGTCGTTTGCAATCATTTATTGGATATAGGTACCTCTGTTGCACATACTCCGGCAATAACAGCATTAGTTGAAGCCACTGCAGGAATAATATGTTTTACCACTCCTTGTACGAGTCTGTAGGTCACTCCTGGTATATTAAATTGTGTAGCTCTCTCCAAAGACTTTTCATAAATCCATGAAATATGTTGTGAATCGTCGCCATCTAATGAGACATTGAATGGATTTTCTTTTGGCCACAATATGATTTTTACATATTCAATGCAATGCTCTGGTAACCTAGGTGTATTTGCAATAGTACATAAAGGGTAATTTACTTGAGGAGGATATAGGTCTAACGTGCATTCGATGCATGCACTCATTCCAGGTAAAACAACACGTGCATTACCTTTGAAACCCTCAGTACCTACAAAAATGTAAAAACAATCACCTATTTTATATGAAAACATTATGGGGATGTTGACATTCTATTTTGTTTATTTATTTTGTGTTTTATGTACTTCAAATTTGTTTAGAAAATAACTGAATGTTTTTGACAAAAACTGAAATAGTAAATTCAGATTTTAATTTGAATTGTGTGCTTTTGTAAATATAAACCAAGTTCTAATAGTATTTCTTCATTTTCGTCATTGCAATCCACTGGAAATCCAACAGGTTATAGGCCCAGGTCAGTAAACAAGAGGAAAAATTATTATACCCAGACAAACTAATATTGATCTGTGTGGTTGTTCGAGAACTTGTTAAAGACAGTATGGATTAAACTAAATTCAGATTTCAATTTGAGTTGTGAGCTTTTGTAAATATAAACCAAGTTCTAATAGTATTTCTCTATTTTCGTCATTGCAATCCACTGGAAATCCAACAGGTTATAGGACCGGGTCAGTAAACAAGAGAATAAATTATTATACCCAGACAAACTAATATTGATCTGTGTGGTTGTTCGAGAACTTGTTAAAGACAGTATGGATCAAAGTAAATTCAAGAGAATAATCGTACTTGACAGCAATTGAAGTCATTATCCAGCGTCCTAGTTTCAAATATAATTCTACGAACTGCAAAAGTTCATGATGTTGTCGATAAAAGTAGAGCCCAATGTGTCATTCCAGACGAGAAAAATAAATGGGTTGACGACGATCTGATAGCAGAAATATGTTATAACTCATCCCATTGCATGCAAAACTGCATCTAAAATGTGGGAGAAAATACAAGCCTTGTTCAGAAAATCGACCGACGCAAATCTACATTCTCTACATCAAATATTTTATGCATATGTTTATAAAAACTGAGGGATAGCGGCGCATATTGCAGATTTGGCGAAATTAAGCCATGAACTAAAGTCGTTAGAGACAAAAATCAGTGGAAGCATGCTGGTCAATCAAATTCTCACGACCTTATCAGATGACTTCAAACATTCTTTCCTAGCTTGGGACAGTGTTTAGATAATTATTTGAATAATTTAACGTCATGAACAGCACAGATGAAGAAACAGTTGAAGCATTGTCTACAAAAAAGTCCAGCTGAAGAATGAAATTTTATTCCAAAACTAACCAAGACTTAAATAGAAAATACCCAGGAAAGAAAGTGACATGTAATTTCTGTAAAAAACAGGGTCATTATGAAAGCGATTGCTGGTTTGAAAAGAAGTTCAGATAGAATCCATCTACATTTCCATGAGGGAATCCCTAAGGCTTTTTTGAAGTTATTAAAACTAATTTGAAGTGATTAAAATTGAAAGAATTTCCCTGTGAGATGTGCTACTTATCAAGGATTTCTTATCAATTTGAGTCTTAAGAATCATTGATCAATATTCAATAAATACAATCCTAACAAATGTATTATTCCAAAAGCAATAAAAATGAATTGACAATGTTCTCTGTAGGGTGCATTAGTGAGAATTGTTATAGGGCTTTCTTCTGAAAAAGAAGTATGTATAAAATACTGGATATCTAAAACATAAATGCAGACAAATTGAAGTTGTCACACCACAATAAAAAAATGCAAATAACCATTAATTTCAATTAGTAATGCATACTATAAGAATTTAATTTGCACCACTAATAAAATGAAAAGTGGGTATCATTATAGGTAAAAGTAGATTATAGTGGGCTTTCTAAAGTATATTTTACAGCTACCTAAATATGGAAACTTCTTTCAGGTTACTAGGTATAGGTAATATATTATTACTTTTCTACATAATGGTATTTTGATTTGTTCTAATCTCGGAATGAGTAAGGGCAGATAATTTTGTCTGCTCAGGTGCATAAAAGAAATTACATCAGTGTTCAGAACTCGAAGAGTTCTCACTGAAAAAACAGGAACTAATCTTGAATAATTCACATATTAAGTATTTCATAAAATAACTACAGATTCATATACTATAAGTTGACTATTCTAATCAATGGGTACTTTCCTACATCAGTTCTGTGCAAAAACTTTCACACCCATCGCACAGCTTTACTGGACCAGGTCTTGTACACTCACAAAAGAAGGAATGAAAAGCTATTTTTTTTAGCGAGGACAAAGTATCAGATTTTTCTTGGTTTTTATTTTTGAATTATACTGGAACTAAGATTTCTGTTTACTTCACAAATATCTGAATATCACATCTCATTTATTTTGTAGGCTTATAGATTTACATTCCAGTAAATTATCATGAATCAAAACTCCTTGAATTGATTGCAATAACCTGAAGAAATCATTCAGGAATTCCTTATAAACAACATTAAAGTATACATTTTTTTGAAGACATACCTCCATCTACCATAGGTATTATCGATTGTTGATCTAAAATTCCATCTTCGTAGTTGAGCATAGATATGAGCATTCCATTGATCCATCTTCTAGCTACAATAGAATCTAATCCACATACAATAATATGAAACTGTCTGTAAAATGATTCGTCATAATCCTGAATTTTACAAAAATGTGGGACAACATGACATCCATTTACTTTCCTATTGATAAACTCGGCTGCAACTTCAGCCTTTGAAGAACCTATGTCCTTATGCCTAAATAGGAATTGGCGGTTCAAATTTGAAAGATCAATAGTATCCATATCTATGAGATGTATATTCTTGAAACCTAATAGAGCTAAATTTTTCAGTAATTCACACCCCAATCCTCCTGCCCCTATTACTAAAATTTTACAAGAGGTCATGACAAATTCTAATATATCTGGAGAGGGTTCAAATTCTGGATGGCTAAATGGTCCAGGACGTTCCAAGACTTTCCTTAAATGATCCCATCTCTTTTGACTTGAGTCCGGATTTTCTGACATTTTATTTTTTATTATTATTAAAGCACAGATTACTTAAAAAACAACTTTGATTACTTTGAACTCGGTTTGAGGTTATGGACATAAACACAGTCAACAGGGTTGCCACGCTAGTCGCTACAGATCACAATTTAGATTTTTTTTCAAAACACAAAAACGTTTTAGCTAAAAGAAGGGAGTAAAGAACATGTAATTGTGTGTAATTTTTTCGATTCTATTGAATAATTGATGTGGTCCTTATATAACAGTGAATGAAATTTCTCTAAACTATTTTTCCATTTGAATATTCAAATTTGAAAATAACCTACAACCTATTTTTCAATTCAATTATTTCAGAAGATTTTTGTTTGAGTAGAAAGCATCGGATATTTCAATTTTAACAACTGAAAGGCCTTCTCTGTGAAAATTTTGGGCTAAGGGAAGTACCAATCCATTTCGAAACTGTTGGAACCAATTTGAAGCGAACAAGCAAAATATAAGTAACCGATTACAAATGTTAATTACCGAATTCATTAAAGCAATCACTACGGATCCTTCCTTGGTTATAAGTAATAACATCATAAACGCTTCCTTGGTAAATAAAGGTATTATAATATATACTTTATCTAATTGTCAATACCATAGTATAAAGATAATATATTTATACTTATCTGTATACTATGCCAATACACATAAGGAGGAAAGTGTGTAAAAAGTTTGAGGCGATTCTCAAGATGAATTTGATGAATGATGAATTTGTTAACTAAGAAGAGCAACTTGTACATAAAGATAATACTATAGTCTATTTCAAAAGAGTGTAGAGTAATAAAATCTCATTAAGTATTCAAAAGCGCTACAGGGTGATCCGTCAATAAATTCTGTCACTTCCCTAGTCCGCATTGCAAAATTATGTCGTTTCATAAAGAGCAGGTAGGTATCACCCTGTTTTAAGGGATTTGTCCATTGTTATCGACGGATAAATACTGAGCCAGAGGCGCGCTAGTGGGATAATTGCCAAAAGAATATGCATTCATAAAAATTATATTAAAGGAAAT